TGCGGGTCAAGTAGTCGGCGCGAGCACACCGCTTCGTTTCATCCATGCACTTGCTCGCCGCCAATTTGATGTTGTTGTTGTTGTTGCTGGCGATTTTACGGCACCCCTTTACCGCGGCCGGCCAAGGACCCTCCCATTATTTCGTGAAAGATGAATAGTAATAATAGGACTTGCAAAAAAAGAGAAACAAAAAGAAAAAGGAGGCGATGTGGTAAGCCGAGGGGACGCAACTTGGTGTAATGCCCCTTGGCCGAAGATGTGCGTGGACAATCGGTAATGCTGCGCTGTTTTCCCTCGTTGTTGTTGTTGGATCGTGTCGGTGAGGCGCGGCCGAGGCAAGGCCCGGCAAGGCCCCCGAACGCCATCGCCGCGTCACGCTGGAAGGCTGCGGCGCCCTGCAGCGCCCGCTATTGAAATGTGTTCGGTGGAAGTGATTCATCTTGTTCCAAGCGACTTCAATTCCCCCCACTCCCCTCCCCGAAGGCTCTCGCAGCATTTCTCTGTTGCGATAAATCACAGAAAGACAGAGCGGCGCCGTCCGAACACCAGAGCGCCACGAGTTGATTTTATTCCTGTCATTTGGCGGAGGCGAGGTGCGGGAGGTTCTCGGGGACGCGGGGAGACTTGCACGCTGGTGTCTGACAGAGTCGGCGTGCTAGCGCAGTCCTTGAACAGTGGGCCAGAAGACCGGCGAAATCCCGGACGCGTTTTGAGCTCCAGAGTCGCTAAATGGGACTCGAACCGAACGTGTGACCCCACCAATCGATTGCTCTGCGGACGAGGAATCCATTGGTGGGGTCGCACGCTCGGTTCGAGTCCCATTTAGCGACTCTGGAGCTCAAAACGCATGAGGTTAGGATCGGCTGGGTCGGCGGGTTTCCCGCTCGAAAGCGCGCTGGTTTAGCTATTATGTGACGTGGAACCGGTGTCGCCTGCTGGGCTGCACTGGTGCCCCACACACACAGACGCACGCACTCACACACACGCACGCCTTGTGCAACCCGCTTGCATTATTGGCCGCACGTATGTCCCGTGATGTCACGTACCGATGCGCCTCATTACAAGGCTGTCTGTCTCTCTCGCACTCGCGGGCCGCCCCGTGCAGGTGCGAGAGAGACGGAGTCTCCAGTCGCGTGCCAGACGCGTGCCAGTCGCCCCAGTGACGAACGGGGACGAGTCTGCGAGGGGCTTGCAGTGTGCGTCCACAGCAGACTGATTCCGAGAGACGTTTTTGTCGCTCTCTCTCTCTCTCTCTCTCTCTCTCTCTCTCTCTCTCTCGCCTGGACTGGACGCCCCGTGAGTGCGAGAGAGACAGAGCGCGACGAAAACGACAGCGGTCGCCGCCCTCCTGGACTCCTCCTGGGGGACAGGGTGCACGATGATCACGAGATGATGGTCTCAAATGGTGCGGTTCTGCGCGAATAAGGTCTCGAGCAACACGAGCGCGCACACACACACATACACACACACACAAGCGCGCTCGGAATGTCGGTGGCACAGGTGCAGACGCAACGAGCCCTTGGGCGATAGACGTGTGGAAAGTGAAAAGTAACCCCCCCCCCCTTTTCCTTCCCCCCTCTACCTCTCCTCTCCTCCTCTCCCTCTTACACCGTCAAGGTGCATCGGGGGGCCCTACGGTGTAGGCTTTTGTTCCTTTTATTTATTTCTTCGGGCCGACATGACCCGTGCTTCGCGTGCATGTGTTTTCTTCCCGCTCGTGTGTGTGTGTGTCTGCGTGTGTGTGTGCGTGCGCGTGTCCCCCCCCCCTCCCCCGAAATGCGGCAGTTCCAATTGTTTCGTTTGTAGTATGTGCGAGACACTTGCTTTGTTTTTAGCGGTGTATGCCATCATCGTCGTGAGCCGTACCGCGGGGTCGCTCACACTTGGGGAGGTGTGAGGTTGGCGACACACACACACACACACACACACACACACACACACACACACGCGCAGACACGGGCGACGCCGCGGATTCCGCCGGTCCATTTGAAAGTGAAAGCGAAAAGTGAAGGTTATTGAGTGGACCCGGCCGGGCTGGCGCTGGCTGGGCTGGCTGGCGCGCGGACGCTGGCGGCTGGACAGGTGGTGGCGGCGGCGGCCACAGTGGCCACGTCACACCGCCTCGGGCACCGCCATGCCGTCGCTCGCTCGATCCCTTCTTCCTTCTTCCTCCCATGCATTCGTCCTCCTATCCTTTTGTTTCTCTTCCTCACTCGCCGCGCCGCGCCAAAGCGATGCGACGTCGCCGCGCGTTCTATGAAGATGTCATTTATTCGGCCGCCGCTCCGCCTTGTTGTTGTTGTTGTTGTTGTTGTTGTTGTTGTTGTTGTTGTTGTTGTTGTTGTGTTCCGCGCCGCACCGCATCGGGATACGTCACGGTCAAGTTCACTTTCGCCATGGACCTCCAGGTAGTAGTAGTACACTGCTGGCAAACTTTTTTTTTTCAAAGCGGGCAAAATATGAGTTCTTTTCTCAGCATGGCCGCGCGAGGGATACATCGGCACGGGCATGGGATCGGGCCCACCACGCACAAAGAGTTTCGGTCGGGGTCTCAGGTTGGGAACGAAGTGCACGCCTATCCGGGCGGCCCATCGGCCCCGTGCGGCACGCGCCGCGAGTGCGAGAGAGACGGGGCGGCAACGAGGATGTGCGGAGGGATCGGTGTGCCGAGCCGCAAGCCGGGGCCGCCTCGATGAATGGGAGAAAGAAATGGGTGCGAGCGAGCGGCCCAAATGAATGGGGATCATCCCGGAACAATCGGCGCCTCCCACCGCGCGGCCGGAACGGACAGCCAGGCAGCCAGCCAGCCAGCCAGCCAGCCAGGGCTGCCGGTATTTGCCTTGGACTCGCTCCAAAACTTCTCACGGAGAAATGCAAACAACATCCCGACGGCCGGGCGGCCCGACGCAAGGCCCGACGGGTGAAAATCCCCGCTCTGCTCCCCGCTGCGGGACACCTCGGGTCTGCTCCAGGCCAAGCCCCCCTCAACGCGAAGGTAGTCGAAAAGTCGCGCAAAACTAACGCACAGGATTAAGGCAAACCTTGAAAAAAAATTGACTTAAAAAAAAAGAGTTGGAATTTTTTTGACAGCAGCGCCGCTGCCCTGGCGCGTCATGGCACCGCGCCGCCACCACTGCGTGGATTGGTGTGGTTTTCGCTGGCCTGCCCGGCCTGCCCGCCCGGCCGCATCATGTTTGAGCAGCTCGTCAGTGAAAGCCACGCGCCGCGCCGCGCCACGACCGCAAGGATTTTCGGAATGTGTTGAGGAACTGGCTCTTAATAACCCCCATATCGTGCCGGCACAAGCCTCGACACCTCCGCAGCCATCTCCACCCCCTCCCCTCCCACGGTGGGGCATCCCGTGACATTTTAAGTGCCGCCCGTCACACCGAGCTCCTCGCAGAGCCTCGCGGAGCTCATCCCAGAGAAATCTGTCGCAGTGGAACACCGGGTCCACGGCCACGTGCAGTGCCGGCCTCCGCGTGCGTGCGCGTGTGTGTGTGTGTGTGTGTGTGTGTGTGTGTGTGTGTGTGTGTGTGTGTGCGTGCCGGCGCGCGGGTGTGCGCGCGTGCGTCCCTCCGCCGGGCCAAGAGGCGCCAATTTCTACCCGAATCCCGTTTTCGGGTCTCTCTCTCTCTCTCTCTCTCTCTCTCTCTCTCTCTCTCTCTCTCTCTCTCTGAACCCACTTGCCGCATTTGCACCGAGTACCCTGCAAACACAACCGGGATCTGCCTTTAGCGCCTGTGGAACGGGGGGTAGGCAGCGCCGCCGAACACCGATGCGTTACGGGCCGGCCTACGCTGCAGGCGCTCTCTCTCTCTCTCTCTCTCTCTCTCTCTCTCTCTCTCTCTCTCTCTCTCTCTCTCTCTCTCTCTCTCTCTCGTTGGCCTGCACCGCCACTGTAGTCTGGTTAGCGTTTTGTAAAGACTCCGATCCTACAAGGATAAGGCTTATTCCGCTACTCTGCAGACTCCGATTCCGAGAGTCCATTTGGTCGCTCTGTCTCTCTAGCACGCATGCACGCCCTGCAGGTGCGAGAGAGACAGAGCGACGGCCTGCTGCCGCAGTGCTGGGACGGCTGGGACACTGCCAGCCGGCCGGCCTGGGAAAGCCCGAGGCGGTCGAAGGCTTCGCCGGCGGCGAGTGTTCTCCCCAGAGTCGAGATTCAAAACGCGAATTGGAACCGACCGCCGCGGAGCTCCACGGAGCTTCGAAAGAGGTTTGTTCTGCCGGTTTTGCCGCGCGAGACAATACGGGGCGTGACGGCTCCATTATTCCGGGAAACAACAACAACAACAACAACAAGAACAAGCACGCAGCGCTGCTGCTGCCGTTGTTGTTGCCTCCGGTTCTCACCGAACGCGTCGCACCTCGGCGTGCTTTTATTTCTTCTTCGCCCACCTCTTTTGTTGTGGTGCATTGCGTCGCCGTGTCTACAGTGTCTACACCGTCTGGAGGATGTCGTTACGCAATGCGGTGGCCGAATTAACGCCTCCTCCGATCTTGCCGCCAAATTTTCCGCGCATCTTTAATTAAAAAAAAAATTGTGCTGTTTGGTTGAATTTGCCCGGCAAAGATCTGCGAAATTTGTCGCTGTTGCGCTGCTCAGGGAGAAAAAAAATTGCTGGGCCACATCCAGTCGGCAGTTCGTGTCGACGGGAGAAACTGACTGCGAGCGTGAAGACGCTCGGGAGTCTCGAGTCGTGGTCCGCGTCAAATCGCCCCTCCGGCCTCACCGCACACTGTGGCACACTGCACTGCTAATTGTCTGTTTTTTTTTGTCTTCGCAGATGCGCTGGCTGTGGCTGGTGCTGTTGGCGGCCGGCGCCAGTGTGGTGGCCGCCGCGGCCGGTCCGGCAGGGCCGCAGAGATGGTCCGCCCCCGAGACCCGCCCCCACCCCCACCCCCGGTCCCTGGAGGACCTGGAGGCGGCGGAGAGCGAGTGGGTGCCGCTGGCCGCCCCCTGCCCCACGTGCAGGCACGCCGGCCCCAGCGCCGCCCCCGCCAACACCGCCGCCGTCTTCGATGACGGCGACCTGGGGCTGACGCCGCCCAAGGCCCCCGTCGTGCAGAGGCAGATCTTCTCGGTGAGCCCCCCGTTTGACGTACAGGTGCAAACCAACGGAGAAAGGCCCGCCAAAGCGCTGGCGGCGGGACGGGAGTCGTATTTAAATTTGGCTTCGGCGTCGTGCCTCGCAGCACGGCCCGGCCATGAGGCCCGGCGTGCGGCCCGCTGGGCCCGCCGCGTGCTTTTCCTCACAAATTGAGTTATCTTCATTACCGAACGCCACGCCGCGGCCCGCCGCTCGGACCCACGTCAAGTGCCCGGGGCGGGGCGGGGCGGGGCGGGGCGGGCGCCTCGCTGCGGTCACGGGGCGTCCATTCCGAATGAAAGTCTAACGAGGCGCCCGCCCCTCGCCGATGCGGCTCATTTTGGCGGCCGCCCCGCCCCGCCCCGCCCCCCTTGCCCGCCCCGCCACGCCCCGCCCCGCGGTCAGCACCACGTGTGCCAAGCACCTCGCGCTCGCGGCGCCCCCCGGCGCGCCACTAGAAACCGTGCCACTCATTCATTAGCTTTTGTCGGAGAGCGCGACGGGTATTGTCGGGCACTATCAGCTTCCACGCGGAGAGCAAGAAGCTAAAATAAATGTGTTTTTGCTGCGGTTTGTGTTAATGTTGGGCTTATCCCTCGCTGCTTGCAGGCGCGCCAGCCCAGCTTCTTCCCGCAGGACTTCCCGCCGGCCACGCCCTCGCACTCGCCCTTCTTCCCGGCAGCGTCGCCGTCGGCCGCGCCCCAGGGCCTGGGCCAGGGCCCCCAGGGCAAGACACTGTTCGGAGCGCCGCCACAGCAGCCCGCCGCCCAGTCCGGCGGCCAGCCCGGCGCCAACCAGTTCCTGCAGCAGATCGGCATCCCGGACAACCTGCAGCAGTTCATCCTCAGCCCGCCCAAGCAGGACTTCCCCCTGCCCAACGTGCAGCAGGTACGGGCCGCCACACCGCCGCGCAGCGACAGCCCAGCGTGTGACCCCCACCAATGGATTCCTCGTTCGGAGAGCAATCCATCGGTGGGGTCACACGTTCGGTTCGAGCCCCTTTTAGCGACTCTGGAGCTCAAAACGCGTCCGGGATTTCGACCGCCTCCACCGGTCTCCTGGCGAATCCACTGTGCGTTTCCTTTAACTGCTGACCGGCGAGGACGCGCTCCGCTTCGCCCTCGGGCCTTTCGCGTACGGCACCGTGATGCGATTCATTCATGCGCGGAGGCTGCTTCCGGACAGTCTCGGTCTCTCTCGCACTCGTGGGGCGGCCCCGAGGCCCGCGGGGGTGCGAGGGAGAAACCGCTCTGCGGTTCGCACTGTCCGCTTCCGCTTTATGACGTCGGACTGCGGACTGCGGATCCAGATTCAGATTGAGGTCGCGACTCGAGTGCGCGCCCTTGGACCACCACACTGGCGGCGTGCACACTGTGGCGTGAGGAGGAAATGCAGCGAAAAGAGTCCAAGGATGTCGTACTTGGTTTGAGGCAAAGCCGGCGGCCAAGCGGTCCACACGCTCGGCAGGCACGACATGTCTCGGTCAGCCTCGCCACTGCCAGCACACTGCCAGCACGCGAAACGCGCTGTGTTGCCACACGAGTAGGCAAACATTCCCACGATGCACCGGTGTCGAAAGGATTGCCTACATCCTGAGCTTTGATCTCGAGAAGCTGAGGTTGGCAACCCTTTTGATTTACGCCTGTTTACGTGCCTACTCTGAGTGTTTTTAGCAGATGATACCACACGCGACACACATGCACACAGGGAAAGGGAAAAGAAAAAAAATTTGAACTCTACACCCCCTCCCCAGTCTTAATGGGGAGGCCTCCTGCTTTACTTCGGTGTTCGGGATGGGAACCGGTGCTATCAGGTACCTGGGGTTAATCCCGTCAGCGACTCTAAGCGTTCGCCGGGGGACCCAGTAGGACCCCAAAGCTCAGGCAGCTGGGTGAGAGCACCCAGTACGAAGCTCTTAGAGGGGCGGGACGTAGAGTGAGACGACAGAGAGACAGAGAGAGACTCAGACAGAGAAGAGGTTTGGTGGGAGCTTCTTGTTTTCGTAGGGTTGGTTGTGTACCCCATGGTACCCCCACTGTCCGGCGCTCCCGTACCGAACATACAGCGTTTTAGGCCAGCTTCAAAGGACTTATCATCGCCTCCCCGACGAGTCAAGGAGGCACCACCCGCAACCACACACCGGATGGTCTGGATTGATGGATCAAATACGCCATCGCTCCAGTGCCGAGGCCAACCCGCCGAAGCGGATTGCTTTTTAGACACCCACAGCGGAGTGGCCAGGTGAATGTGACTCTGACCACTACGCTATCACGCTTGTACGTCTGGCAGCGTGTTGGACGACGGGTTTGAGTTGCAGTGGGAGGAAGGCAGTCGAAAAATGTAATGAAATGATGGGTTCGATCCCCGGACCCCGCCATCGGGATCACAAGACTTTACGCTCTCGGCCACCACGGCCCATGATGGGGGGATCGGCGTGAGGTGGGTTCTTGACGCAACAGGACTCGACCGACCCGGTCAAAATTTCGCAAGAAGTTGGGGGAGTCGAACCGCCGACCCTAGCACTGGGAACCGACGCCTCTACTCCCTGGACCACCACGTCCCATGCACGGAGTGGGCTCACGTTCACGGGTTTCAACCGCACTGGGTGAGGCAGTAAAATTAAATGGAAATATTTGTTAGGAGTCGAACCTCCGGCATGTGGGCCTGTTGCACACGGCTCCGTTCTGATGGCCTCAAACCACCACCCATAGGATAGCAAGTCGAAAAAACTTTTGTGACGCTGGTATTCGAACGCAGGCCTGCGGTAACTCGATCCCACGCCTCTAACGTCTCGGCTATCTCAGCAGTTGTGAAACACGATGGATCATCTGCTTTCATTAACGTTCGTTGAATGAGATTTTTTTTCGGCCCGCAGGTTCTCCTGGGACAACAGCAGTCCGGCTTCGGGCAGCCCCTCCTCCCCTTCTCGCTGCCCCACAACGCCCCGCAGCCCCCGCAACCCCCACAGCGCCCCGCGCCGCCGCCACCGCCCGCCCAGCTGCCGCTGCAGTCACTGAACGCGTCGCAGCCCAACCAGAAGGAGGAGGTGAGATATTGACCGTATTGACCAGCAGACAAGAAGGCGACTTTTTACACTGCTGTGTGGATGGGATTTTCGACCTCGGGAGCAGCGCTCCGCTTGCGCCTGTCCGGGAGGCGGTAGGCAACCCATCGTACTCGCCTGCGTGGTGGTGCGCCTAGGCGGCGCGGCGAGGCTTTGTCGGCTAACCTTATCCTTGTTTCGTTCTCGCCGCCCGCAGGTCCAGCTCCTGTACGTGCCCGTGGAGACCCTCCGGCAGCGCGGCCAGCTCGGCCAGCACCAGCAGCGCTTCCTGCAGCCCCAGCAGCAGCAGCTGCAGCCCCAGCCCCAGGCCTCGTCGCAGTTCCCGTCGCAGGCCAGCCCCAACCAGCCGCCGCGCGCGCAGAGCCACGTCCTGCAGTACCACCCGCAGAACCCCAACGGCCAGTTCACGCTGTCGCTCAACCACCCGCCCAACCCCTTCCAGCAGCAGCAGTTCCCGCAGCAGCCGTTCCAGCACCAGTTCCAGCACTTCCCGCCGCTGCCGCAGCAGCAGCCGTTCAGGCAGCCGCCCCAGCAGGCGTTCCGGGACCAGCCGCCGCAGCAGACCTTCAGGGAGCAGCCGCCGCCCCCGCAGTTCCAGCCGCACCACCACCACTTCCAGCAGTTCAACCAGTTCCCGCCGCAGCAGTTCCAGCAGCCGCAGCAGCAGTCGTTCCAGCAGTTCCCGTCGCAGCACCGCTTCGCCCTGCCGTCGCCCTCCACGCCGGCGCCGCCCGCCAACCACCAGTTCTCGTTCGTGCAGCAGACGCCCGCCACGGCCGCGCCGCCGACCGCCGCGCCCACCACCCCCGCGCCGCACCAGCCGCCGCTGTCCGTGTACATGAGCCCCAACAACCTGCGCCACGACACCAAGATCACGGACGTGCTGCAGCTCCTGAAGAACGCGCGCACCATCCCCGTGCTGGACAACGTGTCCCCCGACTCGCCGCAGGTGTTCGTCGGCCCCGCCAACCTGCACCCGCCCAAGGGCTACGCCAAGTTCGAGCTGCCCTACCTGTCGTCGCTGGACACGAACCGCGTGGAGCGCAAGGTCAACAAGCTGCCCTTCTTCGTGGCGCCGCTTTCGTTCCAGCCGCCGCCCGGCTACTCCAAGATCCTGCTGCCGCCGCCGCACATCGGCTCCGTCGTCGTCAACTCCAACGTGAGCAGCAGCGCGCCCCAGCAGCAAGCCACCGCGCTGCCCCAGCTCCACGAGAAGGACGTGGTGTACACCAAGACCACGGCCGCGCCGCCGGCAGTGCAGTCCACCGTGACCTTCAGCCTGCCGTCCGAGATCACGCCCGTGAACCCCCGCCTGCCGACGCTGGTCAACTCGCTGGACGAGGGCCGCACGGTGGAGCAGGCGGCCACCACGCCCGTGTCGCCCGTGCCGGCCTCGCACACCACGCCGCGCCGCCAGCCCTTCCTGCGGCCCACCACCGCCAGCACCGCGGCCCCCGCCACGCCCACCCCCACGGCCAGGTCCACCTCGCGGCGCCCGCTGCCCACGCGCCCGCACCCGCGCACCACGGAGGTGGCGCCCACGGAGAGCTACACGGCCGCGTCGCCGTCGGCCACCCCCAGCCCCGAGCTGGCGTCCGCGGCCCCCGACCAGGCCGACCCGTCCTTCCAGAGCCAGCGCGTCAACCTCGGCGCCAACGCCAACAACGCCGGCAACGCCAAGCGCGGCCGCAAGCGCCTCCGCAACCAGCACCGCCTCAACGGCGTCAACGGCGTGCCGCAGGTGCTCGACGACCCGGTGCGCAGCAGCACCGAGACCCTCAACACGCTGAGCCCCACCACCGAGAGCGTGCTGCCGCCGAGGTTCTCCCCGGAGAACATCAACCTCCTGCAGGACGCCATCAGCTTCCCCACCGAGCGGCCCGGCTTCGTCAACTCGTTCCAGCAGACCGAGCGGCCCAGCTTCAGCAGCACGTCGTTCCAGCAGACGGATCGGCCGAGCAGCTTCCAGCAGACGGAGGGCCCCGGTAGCTTCCAGCAGACGGAACGCCCCAGCTTCCAGCAGACGGAACGCCCCAGCTTCCAGCAGACGGAACGCCCCAGCTTCCGGCAGACGGAACGCCCCAGCTTCAGCAGCACGCCCTTCCAGCAGACCGACAGGCCCAGCTTCGTGCAGTCGGAGCGCCCCAGCTTCAACTCGTTCCAGACCGAGTCGCAGCCCAGCTTCACGGAGAGGCCCAGCTTCAGCCCCAGCTTCACGCCGTCCTCGGCGCCCGTCTTCCAGGAGGTGACCACGGAGCGCGCCGTCCTGCAGCCCGCGAGCATCAACGGCTTCCTGCAGCAGCCGCAGGCCGAAGACCCGCAGAGCTTGAACCAGATCCAGCAGCAGGAGTTCTTCCCGACGCGCCTGGAGAACGGCAAGGTGCAGTACCAGTACAACCTGCAGCAGGCGGAGAACGCCGAGACGCCGGCCGACCCGCAGGCCGACTTCCAGCCCACGTTCGTGCGGCTGCGCGGGCGCATCCAGACCCAGCAGCAGCAGCCCCTGCTCCCGCACGTGCCCGTCGAGCTCCAGAAGGCCGTCAGGGTGAACCCTCAGCGCCCCGCCGCCCAGGACGCGACCGCGTCCACCGGGTTCGGCCAGGACGCCGTCGCGCCGTCCGCGCCCGGCGCCAACCTGGCGGTGCGCGTCCGCGGCAAAATCAGGAGCCGGCCTCGCCACCAGTTCCAGCAGCAACAGCAGCAGCAGCCCGAGGAGGCCGTCGAGCAGCCCCAGGCCGCGCCCGAGCAGTTCCTCAAGGAGACCGTCGTCGAGCGCACCACCACGTCCACCACCGCCGCGCCGCCCGCCGCGTCTTTCGGACAGAACTTCGGCCAGAACTTCGGGCAGGACGCCAGTGTGTCCGCCCAGACGGAAGCTTCCCTCGCCGCCACGACTCAGCAGCAGGTGGAGCAGGAGGCAGCGTCCGTCACGCCGCAGGTAAGGTCCCGGGTTCAAGCACTGACCGCGGAACGTTTTCGCTGGCAGCTAATGTGTGTCCCTCTGCAGCAGGTGTCTGAGGAGCCCCAGTCCGAGACGACGCAGGCCTCCACGTCCACGACTCGCGCCGGCGTCCGCAAGTACAACAACTTCGTCCGGACGGGCGCGCCGCGACGCCCCGGCCTTCGGCAGCCCACCACCGCCCCGGCGACCACGACCACCACCACGACGCAGCGCCCTCGCGGCACCCGCCGCCCCGTGCAGCCCGCCAGCGGCGCGGCCGGCGTCCGCGGCCGCATCCGCAGTCGCCCCACCGCCACCACGGAGACGAGCAGCGACGCGTCCGAGGCGCCCGCCTCGCCCGCCGCCGCCCCCGAGCTGTACGGCCGTCGGCGTGGACCCGGTGCCGCCAGCCGCACCCCGCCCTCCGGCCTGTCCAACGAGGTCTTGGACTCGGACCACCAGGAGAGCGTTCAGCCCCCGCGCAGCACGGCGCAGAGGTTCGACACGCACGCCAGGAGGCCCGCGGTCCGCCACGAGGAGGCCGCCGCGCCGTCCGCCCCCGAGCAGGGCGAGGAGCAGCCCGCGCAGCCCGCCAGGGTGAGGGTGCGCCGCCCGGGACACCGCCGCCACCCCACCACCACGCCGTCGGCACCAGGTACGTGGTCGCGGCCTCCAGCGCCACCTCCGCGGGCCCCAACCGAGACTAACCCCGCTTTTGTTGCAGGCGCCGACCAGAGCCACGCTGACAGCAAGCTGGCGTTCGCGCTGGACAACGGCGACGTGGGCAAGGACAGCCAGTACGGCGAGAAGCAGCCCGCCGCCGTGCCCGTCGACGAGAGCCTGCCCACCGTGCCCGCCCTGGAGGCGCACCCCACCTTCGACTGGGCGGCGCACTCCGGGTCGGCCCTCAAGAACGGCTGGAGCGCGGCCAGCTCCGGCAACCCGCAGGACTTGCCCCCCATCCAGTACTCGGTGTCCGGCGTGCAAGGTGAGTGGAGGCGAGGCTTCAGCTGAGCCGCTCTGGGCCCCTTGCCTGACTCCATGGTGTTGTTCGCAGGCGAGGTAGACGCCAAGCCCTCAGAGCACTCTGACGACCCCAACGACTACCTGGAGCCCAGCCACGGCCGCCCCAGCAGGCCGGCGTCCCTGGACACCATCTCGGCCCAGGACGTGGACAACGTGATGAAGGCCCTGGAGGAGGTCGGGCTGCTCGACGAGAACGCCTCGGCGTCACCCGCCCCCGCCTCCGCCCCCGAGCAGGACATCCTGAAGGAGGACTCGCACAAGAAGGCCGGCGACCCGGCAACGCAGAAGAAGGTGAGCCCTCGGCCGACGCCGTTATGTTGTCGCGAGTAGGAAGTAACTTGGAGTCTGATTGATGTCTGTGGTGTCTTTGCAGTCGGGCAACGGCCGCCGGCGAGGCAACTGGGTCCGCGTCCGCGTCAAGAGGCCGCGCGACGGACTGGCCACCGCCGAGTCGCAGAACGGTGCGTCCTTCCCCGGCAACAGTGTGCTGGCCGCCGCGCCCGGCGCCAAGGACTCCATCGTGTTCGACAAGGTGTCTCCGTCTGCACCATCGCCGTCCGCCGCTGACGTGGAGCTCACCGCCCCCACCACGACGGGCGTGTCCTTCGCGGACGACGCGGTGACCGCCCTGGGGGAGGAGCAGGACGCCGACGCTACCGCCACCACCCCGAAGATCAGCAGCCTGAGCATAGCCGCCGACGTCGCCGAGGACGCCGTCAAGGCCGTGGAAGCGTCGGCGGAGCCTTCGGCCGAGCCGTCGCCGGCTGAACCCGCGTCCACCAGCGAACCGTCCGCGCCCTCCACCTTGGCGCCGGTCACCGGCAGCAGCGAGGACGACGCCGCCGACGTGCTGAGAGTGTCCACGACGTCGGCGACGCCCGGCAGCGACGCGCAAGATGATGTCGCCACCACTGTCGCCACCACCACACCACCACCGCGGGCAACGTGAAGCAGGGCGAGCTGGAGCAGGAGCTCAACAAGTTCCTGGGCAGCACCACCTCCACCAAGGTGTCCATGGAGACGGAGATCTGCTTCCGAGGCAGGTGCATCAAGACCAAGGCCGACAAGGAGAAGAGCAAGAAGCAAGACCAAGTGCCAGTGGAATGAGGGACCTGAGCGGACAAGAAAATTTAAATGGCTACTTTTACCACCTTCCACTTAAAATGACGTGGACTGGGGTCGGAAGTTTAAAAATGTACCAAGGGCAGGAATATTTTTGAAATGAAAATCATCCTCCCTTTTACCTTTTAAATTTCACACAAAACAATTTTTTTCACGCGAACGTAATGATAGGGTCGTTGTGCTTGTGTCAATGTTCGAGGCACACTCAGTCCTCCTGTCGTGATGTTTTGTTGCCATTGCCCCTTTCTTCAAATCTGTTTTGTGATTTAGGCTTGTGTTTCACTAAAGGACACACTCAAAGGAGTCTCTGAAGGAAGTGGTGTGTCGGTGTTTCCAGGGATGGGAATCAGGGGACAGCGGAATGTAGGTCATTCCCTGTAGCCCTTAACAAATGTTTTTAAGTCATTGTAGGTATGCTTTTATTTATTGTCGCTGTTAATTTTGACATAATCTGGAATGGATGACGCCATCTTGTAGAAACTATTGCTCATTACACTGATTTGCTGCTAGGTAGAAGAGCTTCAGGTCTATACAAATATTGTTTGCACTCTAAGTTTCTTGTATTATTTTTTTTACCTTTTGTAAATACATATTTCATATTGCATTGAAACAGTTACTTTGTTTCAAATCAGCAATGTCTCTCCATTTTAAATATTTTTGTTCAGAACCTTCTGTCTTTGGTGGTCTCCAAACATGCCAAATTCTGTCAATTCAATTTTAGAAATAAAATTTTTGTAATCATGCCCTTATCTCTGTGATTTGCTTCTGTTTTCTTTCTTTTAATCTTTTTGTTTGTTTGGAAGACAGGGTCGCTATTTTGGTTCATGCCGGTCTACTTCAGATTATGACATTCCTAAAACTGCAAAAGAGGTTTTCATTATATCCTAATGAATTTGGTAATTTTTAAATGTTAGATTATTAGACACAGCTTGTATTTATTTCACGTAAATTTTAGACTTATCTCTTCTCTGTAATCTTTGTAAGTTGGCTTTTGTAAAAACTGCATATTAATGATAATTTTAGTTATTTATAGGTAAAGTTGTGCTCATAACAATGCCGTACATCATTTGTAAATAAAAGTGTATCATAAATGTAATGAGCACTCTAGACTGAAATAAAACAAAACATTGTAATAAACACCTTGTTCCGTTAAGTCATTTCCACACCAAATAGAATGTGTCAAAGACCATTGGTCACCGGGCACTTGTTTCTTAGATCTACGGCAACGTTCCAATTGAACTTCAGACGAATTTTCGTTTAAACCATTTCTTCAAAAAATATGATAAGTTTTTCGCGTTTTGGGAAAAAAATTGAAAATGGTCCGAATTTGAGTATGTTGAGCTGGAGCACTCCTTGATCACTCTTGACACTATTTCGAGGACCATTTGGGCCCTAAACAGTCTCTTTCTGGCGAAAAACTGGAAGTATTTGAGCTTGCGCCGCGCGGGTAGGCAACCCATCGTCCACAGCCTCGTCACCGCACCCAAACTGAACTCAACGCGTCGCCAATTTCACTTCAAATGGAATGTGTGAAAGACAATTGGGCACCGGGTTTCTGTTTCTTAGACCCATAGCAAGGTTTCATGTCTATTTCAGACAAACATGTGGTAGTTGACAATTTTTGTCAAAAAAAGGTTAAGGCTATAAAAAATGGCTTTTCTTGAGTGAAATGGGGGTAATGTGTGCATAGTGTGATACGGTTTCCGCGAAAATAAAACACAATTTTATTAACACACCTATTTATTTCAATTATTCAATACACACTTTCCATCCTTTTCCTGCGCTAATTGGCTAAGAGCCACAACCTTTGGCTAGCTGGAGATCAGCAACTCCCCGCTGCCAAAGCCTTACAATACGTTGAGCAAAACAAAAACTAAACAAAAATAGAATACATTTTGTTACACTTTTCGGGACCGAGTATGACCTTGTTTCTTTGGAATGTTTTAAAAGTACCCTGTTATTTGGCAGGCAAAATCTTACAATGTAACCGAGTCTATCAAACTTACAGTGGGATTCATTTGACAGAGCCAGTGGCATTAGAATTAATTGAGCAAACAAAAGGGTTTCCACTAAAAAGTAGAAATGCGAAAATGCTGAGCAAACAAAACTGACAGCAACACCATCAAGCACAATGATGATGCAGAAACTTTGCAAGCCAAAAAGCTTACCCACATTCACAATTGTAGTAGAAAAATATTATTAATGACTCATTCAGAGAGCGTTTACAGACTGGTCACTGATTTACAATGATTATTTTGGCACACTGTCACCTGCATCCTTCAGAGTTCAAGTGAAGGGAATATAATCAAGAGGTACAGTTTTATCAAAAACAATTATTTTGAGAAAAGGACAGTCCATATTTTCGCCTTTCCCTTGAGACTATCGGTGCCGCCCCCACAGTTCATTCACGGCTTTTTAACGAACTATACTCCTTTAATTTATGTACAAACAATTCATCATGGAGACCTGCTCAATAACATTTGCTATTGGAAGACATCGCGAGCTGCTCACTCCCAGTAAGAAAATAATTTCTACATGGATGACGGGAGATGGCTCGAGGTCCACCACTCTGGAACCAGCGCAACGTTTCCCCTTCAATTGAAAACGAATTACAACTTCATTTACACACTATTAATTTAATTGTCCGTCCAGCTTGTTGGCTGGTCCTCAAGCCGCGACGCCGAGGACTGGGCGTACTTCGGCGATGGGCGCTGGGCGCCCTGGCCGAAACACGTCGAACTTAGACCTAGGATTGACACGCCGCACACAAGGATGGCCGGGCTCCCCTAGAAGGTGGACTCCGGCTCCTGCTTGAAGGCCAGCGGGTACAGCTCGGGGTGGAGGTCGACGGGGGAGCGGTGCCCGTTGGTGGCAGGGTGTCCGGGACTCGGGGTGCCCGTCGGGCTGGCCGGGCTGCCCGGACTGCCCGGGTAGCTGGCGGCAGGGTGGCGCCCCGGCGTGTCCGTGCCGTTGCTGGCGCTGGCCACCGAGTCCGTGGCCACGGCCGTCGCCGGCGTCGTGCTGGAGGCCGCCGAGCCGGTCGCCACGGTCTCCGCCGAGGCGCCTGCGACAACGTAGACAGCCACTGTCAAGAGCAGGGGTTAGACAAGCTCGGAAAGCAGGAGAAGCGCTGCACAGACCGTCCCCAAGTTGAAGCTAAAGCCAGAAGCGAGCCCCCCCTTCCCTCTGTACTGCCCTGAGTTTGAATGGCGGGAAAACCCTCCCCTTTAAGACGCAGTCCTAGGGCCCCTCGGGCACCGTGTTCGCGCCCCATGAAGCAAAACTGTTCCCCAAAGCAGCCCGCGTGCACGCTCACCTCCAAGCAGCATCTCCTGCAGCAGGGAGTCGATCCTGGCGACGCCGAACAGCTTGGCGAACTGGATCTGCTCGATCATCTGCCAGGTGATGCTCTGCAGGGCCGGCAGCGTCAGCAGGATCTCGCCGAAGCGGCCGCGGGGGTCGTACTGCCGGTCGCTGATGTAGTCCTCCAGGTTCATCTGCACCTGGTACCGCAGCGACTTGACGCGCTGGGGCTCGTTCAGGCCGGCCGCGTCTGCAATCCCGGGTTCAAACACCAACCGATCCGACTTTTTTTTCACTTGGGGTACCACCGTAGCACAGTGGGCCAGAAGACCGGTAGAGGTGGCCAAGACGTTCCAGACGCGTTTTGAGCTCCACAGTCGCTGGACAGGACTCGAACCGAACGTGTGACCCCACCAATGGATTGCTCTCCGAACGAGGAATCCATTGGTGGGGTCACACGCTCGGTTAGAGTCCCATTTAGCGACCCTGGAGCTCAAAACGCGTCTAGAGTTTTGTCCGCCTCCACCGGCCTTCTGGCAAATCCACCGCGCGTACTCACTGGGGTCGAAGAAGACGATGGCCTTGAGGCAGGCGAACTCCGAGTCGTCGATCTGCACCTCGCGCAGGGGGCGCACCAGCTCGTCCATGACGCGCGTGCCGACGCGGGAGATGTCCAGGTCGGGCGGCACGGACGAGTCGGCCGAGTAGCGCGGCACGATGCAGTTGTTGCCGAGCAGCAGCACGTCGGTGAGGTGCAGGGAGCGGCGGGCCAGCCCCAGCAGCAGGTGCTCTCCCGCGTGCGCGCGAAGCAGCGCCACCTGTGGGGAGAACGGCTGTCAGTCGAAACCCCGGACGCGTTTTGAGCTCCAGAGTCGCTAAATTATATTGCGTTTTATGAAAAAAAAAGTCGACGGTGTATTGCCACTTTTTGTCGTCAATTTTTTCCCCCACAAAACGCACTTTGGGAATGCGTCGGAAGTCGTGCTTGGTTGGTGGGACTAACCTGGTCGTCCAGCGACAGCTCGGTGAAGGCGGGGATGAACTTGGCCCACTCCACGAGGAACAGAAGCTGCTGTTTCATCGACTCGCACACGTCATTGATGTTGGCCACCTGCTTGTTGGACAGGTCGCAATCGTTGGCCTGAGAGCAACAATATCAGTGAATTAGTCTCTTCTTAAGTACCCAACTTTGTTTTTATTTTTTTAAAGGAGAGGATAGACACTCACCTCCAGGGCAGCCCCGACTTGCCTTGACAGCATTTCCGCGTTGAGGAGGGAAGGGACAGACAGACTGCTGTTATTGGACTGCTCCTCGTAGCTAGTTCGGCGACACGAGATGCGATCTCTCTCATTTTGGACGGCTGCGAAAAGAGCACAGGCGCGGATTAATATCCACTGCAAAATTCCTCATCATGTCTCTGTACCAAAGGTGTTTATTTTATCTTTTTTTTTTTTAAAAAAAAGCGAAGAGTGGGGAACTACCTTCTTTTTTCATTCCAGCTTTGAAGCATTTCCGTAGCCGGCAGTATCTGCACTGGTTTCTCTTGTCCTTGTCCACCACACACGTCCGGCTGAATCTGCAACAACCAAGTCACGGGTTAACGAGAGCAGAGTGACAGCGTCGGACAGGTTTCAGAGGCGCCCTCGTTCCGCCCATGCCAAAAAAAAGGTCGTCCCGAACCTCAGGGTTTTCGTTTTGCCTGAAAAAAGGAAACCGAACACGACAAAGTCGATCGGTTTTCATAGCGTGCCGGCAAATCATTATCTTGCACTGTGGCTACAAGGCCAAAGCGGACGGTGAAATAAAAAAATAACACGATGCAATTGCAACGTTTTTCGATTTTTGTCAGTGGAGCGCAAGACGGCAGCGCCTCGGCAAGGACGCCGGCGGACATTTTGACACATCTTTTTTCGGCGTGTGGCGCCGCATTACGCAATCCACGTAAGAAGACGAGGCGGCCCGGTAGCAAAGGGGGGGGGGGCGTAAGTGCGCTCCTTGGCGTGTCCTTGGGATCCTTGGGGCCGCATGGCTCGGCTTCCGAATCTTCCGAACGGCCTCTGCGTTTTTTCAGGGGTCATCCGGAACTAGCGCACAGTGGGCCAGAAGACCGGGGAAGCGGCCGAAATTCGAGACGCGTTTTGAGCTCCAGTCGCTAAATGGGACTCGACCGAACGTGTGACCCCACCAATGGATTGCTCTCCGAACGAGCGATCCATTGGCGGGGTCACACGTTCGGTTCGAGTCCTGTTTAGCGACTCTGGAGCTCAAAACGCGTCTAGAGTTTCGGCCGCCGGCGCCGGTCTTCTGGCAAATCCACTGTTGGCCGCCTCCTAGCTCCGCCTGCTCCGCCACAACACCGTCCCCGCTGCCCTAGACTCGCCGCCAGCCACCCCCAGGTTATAAGGTTATCGGCCGATTGTCTGCTAAGAGAAGCGTGTCTCGGCTGCCAACAGACCGAGGACCGGCCGCCCTCGCAGATAGCCAACCAGGATGTGAGCCTCTGGCTGAGGGGCTGGCTGGCTAGCTGCCGGTTGCCTTTCGGCCGGCTGATGGCTGGCTGATGGTTGCCGGCAACCTCGCGCAGCCCAGAGGCGCGGAAAGTGCCGCAAGATAGATAAAACCGGCTGTTTACACGCGCCGCTCCTCCGACGTGACGACACGCCGAGCGAGCTACAGTCGCGGCGGCGTAGCTGCGGCCCTGCGCCCAAACTCTAGATCCGGGGTCGCTGAACAAGACTCGAACCGAGCGTGTGACCCCACCAATGGATTCCTCGTTCGGAGAGCAATCCATTGGTGGGGTCACACGCTCGGTTCGAGTCCCAGTTAGCGACTCTGGAGCTCAAAACGCGTCCGGGATTTTGACCGCCACCGCCGCCGGTCGTCTGGCCCACTGTGGAGCGGTGCCAATCAAAGGCAGGCTGTCGCACTGCCTGGCCAGCGGCTCCAGCCAGTGGCTAGCCGAGGCCGCAGCGAGCCAGGCAGCGAGTAGGAAGCGAGGAAACGGGTTTCTGAGCAGCGCCAGCGATCGCCGGCGACCCGACCGGGTACTCCGCGGCGCGTCGGAACCGCGCGGAGCGGAGACTTGGCGGACGACGGGGGCGGGCTGGGCCACTGTGTGGCGCTGGGCGGGCTGGGCGGGCTGGGGCAGCCGCCTGCGAACTGCCGGGCGGGCAGCCCGCTGTGCATGGCCGCGGCAGGGTTGCCGGCCGCACCTTTGCAAGGCGCTCCGCGGACCGGGAGGGGGAGGGGGCGCGGCGCCCGAGGAGAGGTGCATTATCTCGGCAGCGGTGAGCGATAAGGACGATAAAAAGTGGGAATCTAATTCGGAAACGAAGGTAATCAGGCACCTGGGTTGCGACTCTATCTCCAAACGAAGAGTCGCAGAGAGGCGTCCTTGCCAAGAGGTGCACGACAAATAAACACTTCAGGCACTCAAGTGACGACTCGGGCGCACGCCTTCCAGTGGGCCAGAAGACCGGTGGAGGCGGTCAAAATCCCGGACGCGTTTTGAGCTCCAGAGTCGCTAAATGGGGCTCGAACGGAGCGTGTGACCCCACCAATGGATTGCTCTCCGAACGAGGAATCCATTGGTGGGGTCACACGCTCGGTTCGAGTCCAATTTAGCGACTCCGAGCTCAAAACGCGTGTAGAGTTTTGTCCGCCTCCACCAGTCTTCTGGGTCGCTTGGCGGTGCTCGCGATGCTCACCTGCACGTGTACACGTGGTTCTTGCGCACGGAGCGGCGGAAGAAGCCCTTGCAGCCGTCGCAGGACGCGGCGCCGTAGTGCTTGCCGGTGGCGCGGTCCCCGCAGATGGAGCAGTGCTGGTTCATGACGCCGCCCGCCGCGCTGCCCAGCGACGCTAGCGACGCCTGAAGGGTGGCCTGCACACTGCCCGCCGCCACGCCCGGCCCCACCGACATGGCCACGTCGCCGTCTGCAACAAACCAACACAGCCTTAGTTAGCCTCACACAGCCTCACTTAACCTCACCTAACCTCACACAACCCCACAAAACCTCGCTTAACCTCACTTAACTTCACAAAACCTCACATAACCTCACATAACCTCACATAACCTCACAAAACCTCACACAACCCAACATAGTCCAACGGCACGAAATGCCCTGTTCTTTCAGCTTAGAAAGACAAACCGAAGAACACGAAACACTCACAAAGCAGTCAAAAATGCATCAAATATGTTTTTCGTTGAAATTTCGATTAATATTAGTCTCATAGACATCGAATGACGTCAAGGTAACGTTTCGCGTTCTTTGTGAATACTTTGTATGCTCAACAAACTAAAAAAAGGAGTCGCGTGAAATGAATGGATTCTAATGCATGGAATCTACCCAAATGTCGCACAGGGACGCAGGCTTACAGGCACACACTCGCCCGCTCTGAGACATTCATTTTTCACACACTCGTGAGTTCCCCGCGGTTTCTTTTCTGCGCGTTTTTTTACCCTTCTGTCTCGTTCCGACAGAAAACTCGCAAGGTCGGGCATAATGCGCGACAGGAAATCGGCGAGTGCCTAGATGCACATAGTTTTCCGTGTCGGTACACCGCCAACATTGAGACAACACAGACAATCTCGTCGCAAACGCCATTTCGGGTTCAAGGTGTTCCCGCGACTTTGTGTGCTCCACGCGACGGTAGTCGTGACGCAAGCGTTTTAGCACGTCTACTGTCCGTCGGGCCCCAAAACGAAATGAGCGCCAATCGAGGATCCTGACCCGCCAACCCGCATTCCTCATCCTGTCTCTCTCGCACCCCACGCCCCACGAGTGCGAGAGAGACAGACTGATGTTTGCCGAACACAGCCGAACGTCGTGAAGGTTTTCCCGAATCGAAGATGATGAAAAATTCACGGGCCGGCGTCGTCATCCGAAAAGGGAACGCCACTTCCAAGGTTAGGTTAGGTTTGGTGGGGTTAGGTTTGGTGGGGTTAGGTTTGGTGGGGTTAGGTTTGGTGGGGGTTAGGTTTGGTGGGGTTAGGTTTGGTGGGGTTAGGTTAGGTGGGGTTAGGTTTGGTGGGGTTAGGTTTGGTAGGTTTGAGGTTTGGTGGGGCTCATACCGCGGGCCGGCCAGCAAAGAACGCCGAGAAAGCGAAGGGGTGGAGGAACGATTTGGTGCAAACAGAGAGCGCAGGGGTTCATTCCACTGATAAGCCTGGCGTTGCTTCGCGTTGCTTCGTGTCCCGCCGGCGGTCCGTGTGACTCTTCGACCACGCCCAGAAGCGATGCGGCCGCGATGTAACGTCGAATCGACCACAGGGAGTGCTAACTAAACAAAAACATTCGACCTGGGGTGTCTGCAACTCTTAAACGGTAAGCGTTAGGCAAGTTATGCATAGGAAGACGTGGTTTCGAAAGTCAATTCCTCAAGTTTGTGATCATGAAGCTCGAACCGCTAACCGTTCGCGAGGAAAAGACGCCTGAAATCGACGTTGCGTTGCCACTTTGTCGCCTCGAAGGTCGCCTCGCCGTCGGATGGCGGTCGAAATCGGGTCGAGGTTCGGTGTCGTTCTAATTTCTCGAGCGCCTGCACTGTGTTTTGCATCCGATGGACCGCGTCTCTCAATATGTGTCGACCGGCTCGAGTTTCTCACAGGCTTAGCTTTCACCAAAGGGGCGCCACAGGAGTCCAGGGGCCTCGTTGGAGAGAGAGAGAGAGAGAGACACACACACGAGTCCGGGGCCCTGTTGGAGCGACACACACACACATACACACACACACGAGAAGACGAGGCTGCCTGCGACGGGAGGGGAGCAGGTTCCAAAGTCCGGCTGTGGGCCTGCCTGGGCCCGGCGGGCCAGACGACGGGCTAGACCCCAGTGACGTCACCCTCGCCGGCCGCGTCGCCGCGTCGCCGCGTCAGAGGCGAACTGGCCTATCAAATCCACCCAAACAACAATAATAACAAACAACAAACTGCGAGTCATGCTCACGTCGGCGGCTCCAGGCCGCTCCAGGCTCCAGGAACGTCGCGGCGCGTCGCGGGGACTCGGCGATACCTATGATGGCCTGTTGGTCCGTCGCCAAGCGGAGGCCCACGTTTTGAGGAAAGTCTTTTCGGTGGGCAAACAACGCGTCGGCCCGCCCTTTCACTGGGCCTGATCCTAATCCGGGGAGTCCGGATCGCTGCCGCGCCGAGTGAGGAAGCGACTTTCAAAGTGTTAGTATTTGAACCCGCGAGCAGACCCACGCCCAGGTTAGTGCCCCAAGATAGGTACCTGTGTCTGGACTCTCCGGCGGGTCCGCCAGGTCCCCGTCAGCCGGCCCCAGGCCCTCCATGGACTCGGCCAGGGACGCGCCGCCGCGGACGAGTCTGAAGTCCGGGCCGAGGCCCTGCCCGAGGCCCTGCCCGAGGCCCTGGTTGCCCAGCACCAGGACGCCGCCGGAGAGGCCGCCGGAGAGGCCGCCGGACAGGCCGGCGCTCGGCCCCGGGGACCCGGGCGAAGTGGCCCATGGAGCGGACGACCACGCAGGGGACGCTGCCAACACAAGCAGTGTCAGGTTTTTTTCAACTTTCAAACTCGGAAACTCGTTATCGGATCGATAACACCATCAGTGTCGATATCGGCCTGGGCGCGCTGCGGGCCGCGGGAACCAAGAGAGCACGATGAGAAATAATTATCAGGGGGTTATGTCGGGCACTTCATCCCCCAGCGATAAGCCGGCGGCCCTGGGCTGGCCCTGGCACTGCTCCCCCAAGGCTTGCCCAAGGCTTGCCCAAGGCTTGCCCAACGCGACCGCCGCCGCCTCGCGCGGCCCTTGTACTAAACGGCCAGCGGCGCCGGGCCTCCGATGCACGCCGATGTGGGCGTAGGCCGGCCTAGGCCGACGGGCCTACGAGCCGCCGCGTGCAGCACAGTTGCACCACGGCCGCGGAATGCGCACCGCGAAGCACTTCGGACAGAGCTTCGCGCTTCGCCTGGCTTGCCTGGCTTTGTCGCCCCAAATACGGACGACACGTCTCTCTCTCTCTCTCTCTCTTTCTCTCTCTCTCTCTCTCTCTCTCTCTCTCTCTCTCTCTCTCTCTCTCTCTGGCGTTAAATGTAGGTACACTGTGCGCAGAGCCTGGCGCGTCCGTCGGCACTGAGGGGATCCAAAATGGCGACCCGTCAGAATGCACGTCCCATACTACTGCCGAGCGTCGTCTGCAGCGTCGCACCCCTAAGGCGGGAATTTCAAATCACAAAGGGGTCAGCTCTCTCTCTCTCTCTCTCCTCTCTCTCTCTCTCTCACACACACACACACGCACTCAATATTAGCCGGCCGTCCATAAAAGAACGTAACGCTTGGGGCATTTCGATGACCGCGGCGGAGCGGTAATTTAAGCGCGACACGAGTATTTAATGGAAGGGCCGCCGCGCCGTACGACGAGCGGGGCGGACAGACGGACGGACGGACAGACAGGCAGACAGACAGGCAGACAGACATGCGGGGTGAAGAGGGGGGCTGAGAATTCCTGAGGGTGGCTTCCAGTTTCATCAACACCCAGTGCATCGAACTCGCTCGCGCGGCACGGCGACGGTGCAGGACTCGCGTCGTGGGTGTGGCTTGCAAGGAGTGGGGGGGGGGGCACACTGCAAGTCCGAGCTTTAAACGAGGAGTGACGAAAGGTTGACATAGCTATTTGGCACAGCATCGCTAGCTGGAGAGCAGACACAGCGCGCCTCGACTTTTAGCGACGCATAGGAAAATCTTCACCCCCTCATGCTGAATCCGCCCAGCCTAGCCCATCCTAGCCCAGCCCAGCCCGACCCGAATTGACTACTACTTTTCAGTGTGTGGCCGCCAAACGCAGCAATTATACAGCCAGGGGCGCGAAGGCCACGCGAAACACGGATGTCTCTCTCTGTCTCTGTCTGTCTGTCTGTGTCTCTGTGTCTCTCTCTCTCCCCATTTGGAAATTAGAAGCAAAAGAGGGGAAAACGATAAAAAGAAACAGCAGAGCCAACTCGACGCGGCCCAGCCATCGCATGACCCCTTGCCGCTGTCAACGAATTCAGGCTGAGACATCGCCCCCGCGGTGGCACGCCGGCAGGCACGCCGCACCGCACCCCGCACGCAGGTAAGGTGGGGGTCAAGTCGGAAATGCGTCTGCCTGCCTGCCTGTCTGTCTGCCTGCCTGTCTGCCTATCTGTCTGTCTGTCTGTCTGTCTGTCTGTCGGTCCGTCTGCCTGTGTGTCTGACTGACTGTCTGCAGAAGACTTCGAAAAAAAAAGTACGAAAAAGACGCGCCAATAAAGAACCGACACGTTACATGCATGCCATTATTTTCTTGTGGTCACATTGCCATTATCCAGACGCAATGCGCGGCCCGCTCCGAAGCTTGCTCGGCACAGAGCCGAAGCCAGCCGAAGCCATCGCCGAAGCCAGGCCCTTGATAACGCGGCGCGACCCCGCGACCTCCCCCCCCCCCTTCCGCGCCTTGCGATGCATATTCAAACCCGGGTTTCCACTCGCAGTGGCGCAGGCATTGGCCTAGCCGTCGCCACCTGTCACCCCCCCCCCCTCTCATGACGGCGCTCCTGATTTTGGGGGAGCCGACGAGACACTCCAGGATGGCGATGCCAGAGCACCGTCTCTCTCTCTCTCTCTCTCTCTCTCTCTCTCTCTCTCTTCGCACGGCCGCGCGACGCGCCACGAGTGCGACAGAGACAGAGACTGCACCGAGACTCACCGCTGCCCATCCCCATGGGATCGAGGTCCTCCTCGGAGAGCAGGCCGAGCGACGCCGCACTGGAGAACGGGGTGGCCACCGCCGCCATCCAGGTCGTCACCGCGTCACTCGCGCGTCACCCCCGATGTCACTCGCGCGTCACTCGCGTGTGACGACCGTGTCACTCGCGCGTCACCCCCGATGTCACTCGCGCGTCACTGACTCGTCACTCGCGTGTGACGACCGTGTCACTCGCGTGTCACCCCGATGTCACTCGCGTGTGACGGCCGTGTCACTCGCGTGCCGCGGGGGCCGCGGGCGCCGACGCCATCGTGTGAGGGACCGCAGAGCGCGGCAGTGCTGCGGCAGTGCGTCGCATGCGGCGGGAACCACACAACTACAAGCCAAACAGCTGGGCGCGCTGGTGTCGCCCCCCCCCTTCCCCCTCCACGCCCCCTCCCCCACCCCGCGCCACAGGTACCTAGTGTACCCGCGACGTCCGGGGCCTCGGACTGGTTTCTCGAACGCCTCCCGCCTGGTACCCGAGTGGTGCCCAACCTGTCCCCACCAAAGGGGAGCCGGCGTCTGCATGCCGTCTCTCTCGCACGCCCGCCCCGCGTCCGAGAGAGAGAGAGAGAGAGAGACAGCGACTCGGAGTCAGTCTGCTGCTCGCACCGACTGAGCCTCCTGGACCGAAATGGCGCAGAGTCTGCACCGCAGCGAAACACAGTTTTTGTTGGAACGACCCGCGGCGTCGCCGCGAAAGTGCACACCATGAGTCTCTCTCTCCCACGAGCAGCGCAACGCGCCGTGAGCGCGACGGAGACAGACACGATGACGCTCGCTTGCAGAACTCCCCGGACCGGCGCATTTCCGACCCCTTTCATTGTTTGAATGGAGCAACATGTTTTGAATGGGACGCTTTCCGTTCGGCCGCCGGCCACTCCGTGACACTCCGCGACTCGCCGAGTGCGACCCCACGCCGCCAAGTCCGCCAAGCCGGCCGTGCCGCGCTCGCTGAGCGGGCCGAGCGAGCGGGGCGTTTGTCGTTGCCGTGAGTCACGGGCGTGTGTCTGTCACGCAGAGCGCTGCAGCGCACGGACCGGCTGACTCGCGCACGGCCGAGATGGCACGATGTGCACGCCTCGGCGTCCCAGGACGCGTGCGGAGAAGGGAGTCCATACGCGTTTCGCTAGTTGCGATCAACAACGCCAAAACAGACGCCAATCATTGTTCCAACCCCGTGCAATAGCGGACGACGGACGGACGGACAGACAGACAGACAGACAGACAGACACACAGGCAGACAGACAGACAGGCAGACAGACAGACAGACAGACAGACAGGCTGCCGGTCGGACACGGAGCAGCCACGTGCTCAATAATTGCGATCTGTGCAGTCGGATGGTGATTATGGCGTCGGGAAGGATGACGGTGCAGAAAATAGGAGAGAAGGTTGCCGGCGTCGAAACCGTCGAAATCTAGGCAAGACGCGCGTGTAACAGGAATCGCCCCAAAGTCACACCGCAGAGCTTTCGCCGAAAAAAACAAAAGACAAAGACTCTGCGGTTGAGCGGCAAACACAGAGAGTTTCGCGGCTTGGCGGCTCGGCGCTCGCAAATAAATGGCGTTATTTATTTTTGGCCGTGTGAGCATACAGCACTATCACACAAACACGGCAAGGAGGCGAAGACGACCACCAAGGTCATGGTGCGCCGCGCCGCCGCTAGAGCGCGCTAGAGCCAGCGACTCTCTGAGGACCAGGCCCGCCACTGTGGCGGCTAGAGGGGAGCCCGTCATTTTCTACTCTCGGAATCGGCCACGCGACTGTTTGCGGAGGAAGAGGGAAAAAAAGTCCTCTTCCGTCATGACTTTCCCACTGTCGTGACGCGTAAGCGAAGACAAGTGCAGGAATATTGAAGCGACTAGTGGCCTAGCAGGCAGGCTGAGGTTGGCAACCCTTTCAACACATCGTGGGAGTTTTCGCCCACTTATGTGGCAACACTGGCACTCTAGTTGTTTCTGCCAGAAAAGTGGAACCTTTTGTCCTTACAGAGTTAGCTCTTCGCCAATGCTGCTATAGCGTGGCGCGATTTCCCCTGGACCTCCGCAAGAGCATCTATTGGGACAAGGTCGAACTTTTTCGGGTGTAGATCAGCCATCTCGTGTTGTCCTGACCTCGGATTGCAGTCTGAATTGGAAACATCCGCGGAAAGCGTTGCTTTCGGGATAATCGTCCTTCTGGGAGAAAGGGGCCTCGATAAAGCATGAGTCAGCAATAAGGCAGCTGCCATGTCATGACAACCACGGCGAGTCACTGCCACTCGCGCGGAGAACAAGAAGGGTTCGCAGTGTGCACGCAGATTGGGGCGTGAGGACTCACTGAGGAGGCCAAATGAGCGAAAACAGGGGAAACATGTCAGGATGTGTACTCATTCTTTCTTTTCGTCTCACAGAGACCGCGTCATAACCGCGCGAGGCTATTTATAAGGCGAAGGCCGTCGGCCGACACGAACCTCCTTTTTGTCAATCCTGATTAACCTTGGCCATGCCTTGGCCATGCCTTGGCCATGCCTTGGCGCTGCAGGTAAACCCGGGTTGATGTACGTCGCGCGAGGGGACGGTCAGGTTTGTTGCTGCAGGCATCCAGCAAACCCGGGTTTTGCGGTGTGACGATATCTCGCGCCTGAACGGTCAGGTTAGGTTCCTGCAGGTGAGGAACCCAGGTTCGGGCCACGTGCCAGGCCGCTGCAGGTGTCGAGGAAACCCAGGTTCGAAAAGCCTTATGTAAAGCGCGCCTGGCGGCCGTATCTCGCGCCGACGACGGCTCTTTACTGATAAGAGGACAATTTCGCAAAGCAGAAACTGTCTCAATTAGCGCGGTTTATTATTGATACTCAGTTGTCCACTCGGCGGCCGCGGCGAGTCAACCAGAACCGGGGTTAGGGTTCAGGCCGAGCCACTGTCCAGCACCGCCGACGGCCAGGAAAACGCAACAACCTCCGACACTTGCGAATGCACTGCCCCCCGCAACACACACAACAAAAAAGAAAAATAGGGTGTTGGGCTTATTGATCTAAAGCATGTTTTCATCGAATCCCCTGGCTAAGAGATTGAGCCATGAGTGTTCTCTTGACTGCACGCGAGTTCTCTCCCAGATTAGCAGTGTCGAGGCGGCGTTAGTCCGTATTTGAGACGCGTTTAAAACGGGTACTGCGCGAGAAGGCACGGGAAGGAGGGAGATACGCCGAGAATAGAGCGAATAGAGTGGGCCGGATTAGAGCGAGTGGCCTGATCGAGATATCGAAGAGCTCACCTGCAGGCACGCACTGCTTTATCGACTACACTGCATCGGCACGCACTGTTTTATCGACTTTACCTGCAAGATAGCAAAGCGCTGCCCGACGGACAGCGCGCTGCAGGAAGGCGGTGACTCTCGCGTGACTGTACGACACATTCATTCGAATCACCGCCCGCGCGTCTTTGTATACGGTGCGAACGGACCTCCACCGCGGTCTTTCTCTGTCTCCCTCGTTTCAAAAACCAAGATTCAAAAACCAACCAGCGGATGAAAAGAGACGCGTGATGTGAGCGACAATTTAAGAAAGGTTTGGCCGTGTAGTAGAGCGCGCGTGGACACGTTACTCCTCAGCGCCTCATTGCGCATACCTATTGTGTCAAATGCAAGGCTCATCCACGGGCATTCACTCACACTCACTCACTCTCACACACACACACTCACTCACACACACACACACACACACACACACAGAGTACACGTACACACACCTGCATCGAGACGGGCAATTTAAAAGCGAGCCCCTTCCCATGGCAGCCCGCATTGGAAAGAGGGGAAAGAAAAAAAAGACGCGGAACTGAAAAGAAATGGTGACAGCAAGTGCTTTGACTGATACGAGTCCTGCAGCTGCGCGGCCACGCGGACCAGAAGTACGTCTGAAACGTTTTCACGATTGCATACCTGCGCACACACGCAAACGCGCACACACACACACATGCACGTTTCCTGCTCGATACTACGTAAGGTACAAATCTCTGCGGAGTTTTTTTTTTTTTTTTTTTTTGAAAGGTTTCCAGGGTGCGCTTGCGGTCGAGCGTGGCGTTTCCGAGTTGAACGCAAACACACACAGCGACAAAGTTATTCAGCGTGTCACGCTCGCGCCGTCCCTCTCGCACTCCTTGGGCATCCCGTGGGGGTGCGAGAGAGACGGCGGCGGGGAGGCCCGCTGCTGCCTGCTGTCCGCTTGCTGCCCGCTTGCTGCCCGCTTGCTGCCTGATTACAGCCGTGTTTGCCCTGTCCAGTCTCTTTAAGACGGTCAGACTCTTCTATCAGTCACTGGCACCTTCCGTCACCTCGATCCGAGTGAGCGAGAGAGGGGGAGGGGGGCATGAACCATGCACAAAAATAGACGCGAGACTTAATAAAGACATTCTTTATGTGCGAATCAAAAATGCCGACAAACCGCAATCTCGGCCAATGCCAGCAAAGTTCAGTGACTCGCTATCTGGTTCGGTCAAATAGGGCCTTGTTTACCTGCAGCCTGTTTGTAAACAAACCCGGTAGTGCATGCCTCTGGGACGTCCCAACGCGTCTCTACACTAGAGTAGTACTTTTAAACACCACGTGGCATGAAAATACGGTACGAAAATACGGCATGAATGAAGTACTCACTCGTGTCCTCGTCCTTGGTGTAGTCGATGGCGTTGCCGTGGTCGGAGCCGGGGGAGCGGAGCGCCAGGCTGGGGAACTGCATGTGGGTGTCCATGTCTGCAACGAGAAACAAACATTTCTCTCACCGGAGGCAAATTTTTGAATCATTACAGAGCATCTCACTACGCGTTTTCCACGCAGTTCGTGTGAGTGCGCGCGCGCTCGTGTGAGTGTGTATGTGTGTGTACACGGCCTCGTTTGATGTGTGTGTACCGATAACATTTCTCATCGTCCCTTCGGAAGAAGAAGAAGAAGAAGAAGAAGAAGAAGAAGAAGAAGAAGAAGAAGAAGAAGAAGAAGAAGAAGAAGAAGAAGAAGAAGAAGAAATGAGGAAAGGGAGCGGAAAAGGAAGTTGAGGGGCAGGCTAAATTTATTCGGTCACGGAGACACACCGGACCGGTACCCACGAGGTGAAAGCTATATTACCTCAGCACACTCGGGTGGTGAAATGTCATTTCAAATACTATAAACCTTTATAAAACAAAACAGAAAGCACGCCGCGTCGAGGGGCGCATACACGGTCAAAACTGAATTCATGCAGCGCGATTTTCATACTCTGGCTAGGTGTCGGGTGGCTCCTGGGTGAGCAGGGAAGGGATGTGAACATTCAACCTTCCAAAGCGCATAAATTGACGCCCGAAATTGGATTTTCCGAGAATTCTCGTCCACTAATCGGAAGTTCTCTCTGCAGAGGCTCGGTGCCGCCTTGTCCCCGAGTTTCCCACACGGTCAGGGCGATTCGGGTGAATGAATGCTCTGCCGCCCGATTCCGTTTCTCTGTCTCTCTCGCACCCCTTCGCCGGACGAGTGCGAGAGAGACAGAGCGACATCCTTCGCTCTGAATGCGTCGCTCCCACGATAAGTCCGATGCAACATTACCGCACTATTTTTAAACTTCGATTCCACGCGGGGACACTGCTAAATTTCATCACATCGTTTTTGTTGTTTAAATAAATAGAGGCCACAACGATACAGTTGACAAATGCAACACAACCGATTCTAAAAATTTCAGCAAAACTTTGATCGGTTGCCAATGGATTAGGTGAAATTGGAAATTTTCGAGTTATTACATTCATGTGTTTCCATAGAAAATACTCTGCCACTGACGAAACGAGTCTTCGAAAACAAACTAAGTGCACCAAACATTCGCTCGGCAAGGACTTGGTGACGTTTTGACGGCGTTTTTACGCGTTCGAACCCTTGCTGCTAGCAGGAAGCTGCCGACTTGGCGGTGACACAGTCCCTGCAGTGGGCCTGCAGCAGCACACTGGGTCATCGAGACGCCGCAGCGACGTCGGCACGCCTCACCATCCGGCGCGTGCAAACCTGAGCCCACTTACATAAGCCAACCGCAGTGTGTACGGCAATTACCCCCTGGGCCGCCCGCCGCCCCGACCGCGCGTGCCTCGTCCAAATTGGTCAACCCGGCACTGCTTCGCACTGCTTGTCACGTCCTGGGTTCGAACACTCGTTTTTTCGTTTCGCCAGCGGCGAGCTGACGGCGTCCTTACCAGGGATGGAGAGGTCCAGCAGGATGCAGTCGGGGCCCAGGCACATGCCCGTCGAGAAGTACCCCGAGTCCGAGTCCATGTACTCGGTCTCCACCATCTTGACGACGTCCTTGAGGGGCGGCAGGGTGTCTGGGGGGCCCGGGCCGGGTCACATGGGCGCGGGGCGCGGCAGAGGGGCGCGATGCAGCGCGAAGCAGCGCGATGCAGCGGCAAGCGCACGGGGCGGCGTGGGCCGGCGAGAGGGCCTACAGGGCTTGCTCGGCGTGCTTGCAGCGTAGTGGCGTGCTGCCGCGGCGCGGTGTCGCGTACAACTCAAGGCGCGGCGGCCTGCTACGCCTGCTACGCCTGCTACCGGCCCGGGCCCCGGCCGGGGAGGGGAGGGGGCAAGCCGGGGCTGCCGGGGCAAGCCGGGGCAAGCAAGCAGACGACGCCGCCAAGCCCAGCCCGCCCAGCCCGCCAAGCCGCCAACCACTCGTCGGCAGCGCCACGCCGTGCCGTGGCATGGCAGCGCAACTGGCACGTGCAGGCCAGCGTGCGTGTAAGTGTGTGTCGGTGTGCGCGCGTGCTAGGGAAGGGGGGGGGGAGGGTGCAATATCAGTTTTTACCTCCGCGCCACGCCGCTACGCGTGTAAATGGCTTTGTTTCAGATTGTCGAGTGCTTCTCCGAGGACGCGCCGTCCTTCTCGCACTCGTGAGCATCTCGCGGTTTGATTCGCTGTGATCGATCTCAATCGATATCATCGGTTCACACTCGAAGCCGCGGCCCGAAAGCGGACGCGTCCGCGCGCAGGTTGCAGTACAGTCGCAAAAAGTGAACGGCAAAAACCCCTAGAGGGGGAATGTGCGGGGGAGGGCCTGCCTCGCAGACTGGCTCTCTCTCTCTCTCTCTCTCTCTCTCTCTCTCTCTCTCTCTCTCTCTCTCTCTCTCTCTCTCTCTCACTCACTCGTGCGGCGTTCAACTGGTTCCGTTGGTTCCGCAGGGGTGCGAGGGAGACAGAGCGACGACCAGCCGCCAGACTCCCGTTGCGACACTGCACCCCCTTCCCCCTCTAGGCCGGCGCCGCCCCGATAGCCGGCCTCTCTCTCTCTCTCTCTCTCTCTCTCTCTCTCTCTCTCTCTCTCTCTCTCTCCTTTCCCCGCGTCTTTCTCCGGATTCCGGCGACTCGATGCTTTGTTGATGATGCGTTATCGGCCAGCCATAGAAAATGAAGAAAAGAAGAAGAAAAAGGCGTCGGGAAAAGGGGGAGGGGGCAGATGAGTGTATCGAAGAGATTAGAGTGCATCCATCCGGACAGCGCAGGGCGCGCAGGCCGCCCCGGCAAGCGACCGCGACGCGCTACGCCGCGGCCAGGCCGCACAGTTTCAGACCCCTGGTTTTGGACGCGTCAGGAAAAGAACCAATCGACATTGTCAAAAAAACGTCAATTTTGTCCTCCTTTTCCTTGGAGTGGTGCCTGAGTGGTCTGTTTGCGCCCGTGCGGCACGCCAAATGAAGGGGACTCCCCACAACAACACGGTGTCCCCCACGGCCCGGGCCGGTCCTGCGCCGTCCGGTCCCGGTGAAGGGGCTGTTTGTGGGGCGGCCTAATCCAGGCCCTCACCAAGTCCCTTCTCAGCGTGTAAACAAAACCGAGGCGCCAAGTTTTTTGGCAGGTTCAACAACCCGACGGATTTGGCCGTCCTTGACCTCGCACAGCGGGCGGTGCACAGTGGGCCAGAAGAGCGGTGGAGGCGGTCAAAATCCCGGACGCTTTTTGAGCTCCAGAGTCGCTAAATGGGACTCGAACCGAACGTGTGACCCCACCAATGGATTGCTCTCCGAACGAGGAATCCATTGGTGGGGTCACACGCTCGGTTCGAGTCCCATTTAGAGACTCTGGAGCTCAAAACGCGTCCGGGATTTTGACCGCCTCCACCGGTCTTCTGGCCCTGGTGTGGCGCCGGGTCGCTTAGGCATGCATCCTGGTCGCATCCCGCATGCAGCTGGGAGGCAGCATGGATGCAGCTTACAGATTCATGGCCGAAAACGGAAGGCGCTTCGGCGCGGCGGCGCGGCCAATCCAGCTTGAATATGGCGACATTTCCATACGCTGGTCGCGACGCGGTGACGCTCTTGATGTGCATTGCAAAGCATTGCAAAGCACCTGCCGTTAATTAGTACACCGGCAAAAAGGGAAGAAAAAGAGGAGGGAAAGACGAGAAAAAGGGACGCGGCAAGGGCGAGCCGTGGTCGCTTCCGACGGAGGCTAGGGCTACTTCGGTGAGCACGCTGACACTCCCAAGGCACTTGGCACCTGCGTTGAGGTTCCTCCGAGGATCGTGTGAAGGAAACCGAGAACCGAAAACAGAAGTCTGGGTGACGACCGCAACCCTCCGGGCTCGTTTTGAGCTGTAAATATATTGCTCAGCGGAGTCGGTCGAGGCAGCGAAAAGTTGTCGACGCCTACTGTCCATTCACGGTTTAGGTGGGGGAAGTCCCTTGGAGACGCTCCCCCAGTGTAGCCAACACAAGTCGACCCACGATACATCATTGTGGAAAGGGTTGCCACCTAGGCAAATCCTGGACATTGCTCTCGACACGTTGCCGAGTAGGCAGGCTGAGGTTGGCAACCCTTTCTACACCAGCGCGTCGCGGGACTTTGCGCCTGCTTGAGTGGTAACACTGGCTGGGGCGGCGGCGCGCCGAGGCGGCAGGCAACCCATCGGGCAGCGCGGCCAAGGTGCTGAGGCGGCCGGAGGCAGCGCGAGGTGTAGCGTCAGGCGCAGGAGCCGCGAAAGCAGGACGAGCACGCCGGAGAGAGGCACGCGTCGAGTCGTTTCGTTTTTGGCGCGCTCGGCGCGGGCACGCAGTGGTACCAACCTGAAGCGTCGGCCGGCGAGACCGCGGCCGAGACTGCCGCCGTGGCGACGATGACGCTGCTGGTTGGCAGGCCTGGCAGGCCAGAGGCTGTCACTCCGTGCGCGCCGTGCGCGCCGCTCCTCGTCATGGACACTGTCGAGGTGGATGCTGCGCACCGGTGTGTTGTCCTGCAGTTGGCAGCAGTTGACGAAAGCACTCACGCACGAACACGTCCCGGTCGTCGCGCGCGCTGTCCGCTAGCTGTCCGCTAGCTGGGCTGGCTCGGCTCGGCCGCCGGGCAACCCATTCGACTACTTGAACGCGGCGACGCACGGCAGCGCGGAGGGCGGTTCGATTCCAGAAGGCCGTGACGCCGTGACGCCACCACGCGACGCGTCGTCTGCTGCGTCCGACAGTGTGTCGTCTGCTGGGGCGTCGTCAGCCCGGCTGTGTGTCTGTCTTGGACGAGCCGCTTTGGTCTCAGCCTATCTCGGCCTTATCTGCCCCCTCCCCTCCCCCTTCGCCCTTATCACTGTAGTCAACAGCATCGGGAGAGGGCGGGGAGGGGGAGGGGGCTCGGATCGGGGCGTACCGTACCTGCAGCCTGCACTGCACAGTTAGGCAGGCCCACCGATGCACCCCGATGCCGACTCCTGTCTCTCTCGCACCCAGACGTCCCAGCCGCGCGGGGCGCCCCATGAGAGGCTTCCCACGCGGCGTGTGTCCGCCGTCCCCAAGCACAGCGTGCGTGTTCGGGGCCCGGCCGTAAGCGGCGGGCGCGGTCACGCTGAGGGACAGTCCCTTATCTCGGGATTTTGATTGTAATGTGTCGGTGCTCAAGTGGGGGCGCCTCCGAAAGCGCGCGGCCCGGCCCGCCGCGCCGACAGCATGCCGACAGTGGGCCAGGAGGAGGCCCGGCCGGTTGAACCGACGCTCTGTCTCTCTCGCGCCCCAGCGGGACGCCGCGTGAGTGCGAGAGAGACAGCGCGCCCCCGGACGCCAGCGTCTCCGACTAATCCGAGACTGCGATACCGCGATACTTCGATACGCGCATGCAGTCTGAGGTACTTCTTCGAGGGGGTCCGAAGTCCGGCCCGAGTCCGGCCGGCTTCACCAATCAGCGGGCTTGTTTGTCCACGTTGTCCACTCACTGCGAGCGAAGCGAAGCGGCGAAGCGCGTCTCAACCTCGCCGGCGATGCGGCGCAGACTCAAGCGGCAAGGGATCACCTCAGCCGCTATTTGCGGTGCCATCGCGATCCTCGCCATGGGCGCCATGGGCATCGCCCGCAGGATGCGCTTCGCGGTGCTCCGTCGCTCTGTCTCTCTCGCACCTGCGCGACCTATGAGTGCGAGAGAGACTCAACCACTATTCGGCAGTGCAGTGCAAAAGACAACAGCACCTTTTCCGATCGCGAGGTTAGCCGCCACACCCATCGAGTCGAGTCCCTCACCGCCTAGAAATCAGAGCAAAACAAACACAAAACAGACGGTCACGGTGCAACGCAACAGGTGGAAAAGGAAGCAGCGCCAAACAGTCTCCGTCTCTCTCGCTCCCGTTGGGCGTCCCGCTGGGGTGCGAGAGAGACAGAGCGAGCCAGCGGGTGAAGCGCCTCCGCGCGCAGGTGTGTCTCACGGTAGGAAACGGTATGCAAATGGAGTGGGGGTGTCGCCACCGCTTTCAGTAGTGTCGGTGCGCTCGCACAGTGGGCCAGAAGACCGGTGGAGGCGGCCGAAACTCTAGAAGCGTTTTGAGCTCCAAAGTCGCTAAATGGGACTCGAACCGAACGTGTGACCCCACCAATGGATTCCTCGTTCGGAGAGCAATCCATTGGTGGCGTCACGCGTCCGGTTCGAGTCCCATTTAGCGACTCTGGAGCTCAATAACGCGTCTATAGTTTTGGCCGCCTCCACCAGCCTTCTGGCCCACTGTGCGACGGCTATTTCGGTCTTTTGATCGGGAAAGACGCCCAAGCGTTGGGGATTCTTCCCCGGCTGGTCGAATTTCGTAACAGATTGGTATTCGCTTTGCAATACTTTGGCGCGCAGCCGTTCCCCCTCCCTGCGCATGCGCGATAAGTTTATTTATTGTCTTTGGCGAAAAAGAAAACAAAAGACTATCGGCAGTGATCCTCTTTGCCGAATGTTCCGTTGCTAGTGTCTTGCTTTCTTTGAAAAAGATCCATAAATCTCGTACTATGTAAAACAATTGTTTGATGTGTTTCATCACAAGTCTAAAGCAAACACTCAAAAACCATGAACATGATTTGGCTAATATCCGTCTTATCTCTTTCCAACCACATGGAAACGATTGTTCGGCTCGGCTTGAGATAGAGCCTCGCACTGTCATCAGGTCAAATTGCTTTCCGTTTAATTCTTCACCGAATCTTCGAACGACGAGGGTGCAGCTTCCGCCTCTGAAAGTCGGGAATCCGTCTGACGGTGACTGGGCTCAAATAAAACACGCCTTAGCGACATCTCTCACTTTATTCTCCGCATAAAAATATACGCTACTCACTGGGCATGGTACGTCCAACGCAAATAAATACGGAACTGCTTTGTACAACAATAATAACAACAACAACAACTTCAGTGGGCGGCGGCAGGGCCGGGCATCGGCCTCCTCTTGACGGGCGAGTCGGTTGGCGAGGGCGGGGAGCGGCGGCCCGGTCCGAACAGGCCGCCCGGACCTGAGGGGTTCGCCAGGCCCGTCACGCGGACCCCCTTCCTCTTCCTCAGGGACTCGGTGGGCAGGTAGTCCGTCGGCCTGCAGTCACAGACAGTGTCACAGACATGGACAAGCCAGTAGTATGGGTGCCCCACAGGAACGGGCCGCCGGGTTTGGTGCCAACTCGTCAAATGGGGCACCAAAATGGCGGCTCGCTACACTGGGGCGCGCATACTACTCGCGTCTACAGGAATGCGACGCGACTCGTCAAATGGGGCACCAAAATGGCGGCTCGCCACACTGGGGCGCGCATACTACTCGTCTTAACAGGAATGCGACTCAAAATCGGCGTGGCGGATGCGGCGCCAGTGGTGCAACACAAGTTGGCAAAAATTATCTGAGACCTCTGGCGTTGACTGGCACACTAATAGTCGTTAAAGAGCCGCCAGCTGCCAAAGTAAGTAAAAAACTAAAGTCATGCTGTACCTACTCACTCCTGTACGACGCCAGCGTCCAAAACGTGAGAGCAAAACGCAAAGGAAACAAAAACAAAATGGCGGGCCCGTTGTGAGCGCGCACGCGACAGTCAGTGACGTCACCGATAAAAACAAAAACAGTCCGGCGGCGACGGTCGCTTACCGGAGCAGCCGCCGGAAGTCGTAGGGGCCGCGCAGGTCCTCGTTGGAGCCGCTGGGGCTGTTGCCGCCCTTGTTGGCGGCCAGGGGGACGGGCGTGTGCGCGGGGGTGCGCGCGGGGGAGGGCGCCGCGGAGGCGGGCGTCGAGCTCAGGGTCGGGGTGGCGTCCCGCAGCACGCGGTGGACGTCGGGCGGGGTGGCGCTGGGGGCGGCCGGCGCCACGGACCCGCTGCTCTGCTTCCGCTGCCTGGAGGGAGAGAGACAGAGAGGGCTCAGACTTTCAGCGACTCGGAATAAACCGAATAAACGCGATAGTACGCAGTGATTAAGCTTGACGGGCTCTCATTCACACCAGTGAGTGAGGACATGGCACACGCCTCAACAAGTTGCGATTTACGAAATACATGTGAGTCAGCGGCCGGGCCCCACTCACCCTTTGCTCCCTTCCTATCGCCCACGCAGTTTCCGATTTAGCGCCTCAACTCACCCTTGCCCCTGGCGCGCCCGCAGGCGTCGCGGCGCCTCGGGCTGCACGTGCGCGGCGTGGGCCGCGTGCTCGGTCCTGGCCGCGTTCAGTCTCACGCCGTGGTCCTGCAGCGCCTCGTAGTACGCCGCCGAGCTGGACGCCTTGCCCACGGCGGCGTGCTTGTGGCGACGCAGGTACCGGTGCGCCTCTTGGTTGGAGGCGTGCACCTGCAACACGCCGGCCGTGAGGCTCTGTCTCTCTCGCATGGGTCGCCCCTCAGGGGTGGGAGAGGGACAGAGCGACGAAACGACTTTCCGGAATCGTTCGGCAGGGTAAAGACTGTGAAGGCGAGCGTGTTGCCTATGCCCGACTCGGCGGGGGCTCCCGGTGGAGGTGGAGCGCGCCCAGCGTCCCACAGGCAGACGGGCAGCCAGGGGGGAAGCGAAGTACTTTACCTTCTGGGAGAAGGCCGCCAGCTCCGCGTTGGTCCTGGACTCCGGGGTGGCCATCTGCGAGTGACAGTCGAAAGTTAGCGCTCTGGCCAAGCGTGGCGGTCCAAATCCCGGACACGTTTCGAGCTCCAGAGTCGCTAAATGGGACTCAAACCAAAGGTGTGACCCCACCAACGGATTCCTCGCTCGGAGAGCAATCCATTGGTGGGGTCACTGGCTCGATTCGAGTTTCTCGCACAAAACTCGTCCGGGGTGGTGTCCATCCACCAGTGGTAACGTACCGGCACCGCCACCAGGGGCAAGACCATGGGCGCCCCCACGGGGCCCGCCCTGTCCCGCTGCCGCGCCTCCAGCTCCAGGTTGTGCCGCCAGCGACGGCGAACCGTGTAGCCGCGGAAGTCTGCAAGCACGCAACGCACAGGCACGTCAGACGGCCGTTCCGAGTGTGAATCGCTCAAGCTGCACCACTTTGGCGGCACTCACGGCTCTGGATGAGCACGGCGGCCTGGTTGGGGTCCAGCGGCTGGTTCTCCTTGTTGTCGTTGCCGCGTCGCCGCAGCCGGGCCTTGAGCCACGCGGCGGCGGAGGCCTGCTTGCCTGCGGGGCGGATTCAAACCATGACGACATTCATCGAAAATGACAGTAGTAGAAACACCCCGTACTCACTCTTCTTGGGCGGGTTGGCGCTGGCGGGCTGCCGCTGCCGGTGCTGCCGCCGGTGCATGGCGGCCTGCTGGGCCTGCTGGGCCTGCTGGGCGAGCTGGTGCGCCTCGTGGGAGCGCCGGCGTTCGATCCAGCCTCGGACGTAGCGCTGCAGCGTGAGCGCGGACTGGCGCAGGGCGTCGCGCTGCGCGAGGGCGCGTCGGTAGCGCAGGCGGGCCAGCCAGCCGCGCACCACGGCCTGCACCAGCACCACCTGCCGGACCTGCGGCACGAGCGGCGCCAGCGTCAGCACAGTGGACTTGCCAGAAGACCGGTGGTTCGGAACGCGTTTTGAGCTCCAGAGTCGCTAAACAGGACCCGAACGGTACGTGTGACCCCATCAATGGATTCCTCGTTCGGAGAGCAATCCATTGGTGGGGTCACACGTTCCGTTCAAGGACCATTTGACGACTCTGGAGCTGAAAACGCGTCAAGAATTTAAGCCACCTCCACGTGGCTCCAGCCCACTGTGGCCTCTACAAAGGAGAGCTAGTCCGAGCCTACAGCGCACCGCCTCCACCCACCTGCTCCTCGTACAGCTTGGCCAGGTACTCGACGTGGTAGTACTTGAGGAACACCTTGGTCTTGCCCAGCGCCCAGCCGTCCAGATGCAGGCGCACTAGCAGCAGTCTGCAGGACTCCCTCGTGGTAGGAACGTTGTCCTTGAAGCCGAAGCCAAGGAAGTAGTACCTGCGGCAGAACATTTCGTCATTACATTTGTTTTCGCAAATTATTGCCTCCAGTAGGTGACAAAAATCGTCCATGCACGCCTGCTTCGAAATACATCATCTTTCACGAAATTTCTCCCGCCGGGCACGCACGGGGGAAATCCTCCAAGACGCTTTCATCAGCCACCATTCCAAAATGGCTTTCTCGCGCCAGATAACGCCAACCAATGAAATGGTGGTACGGCCGTGGCGCGACGGGTCCAACCCGCCCACGAGGTACAAAGGTTGCTCCGCGGGGCTAAATGGGAACACTACCTGTCGCGCCGCCGCGCTATTCTGGCCTTGTCAACGAGAGCTTAGGCACTTTAACGACAGGTGTGCGTGTGTGCGTGTGAGAGAGAGACTGTGCGGAGCTCCCAAGGACCATCAAATTGGCACCCATACGGGGACATCGTCAAACGACAGCTCAAAGCTCGCAGGACATGTGACCCCACCAATGGATTGCTCTCTGAACGAGGAATTCATTGATGGGGTCACACGCTCAGTTCGAGGACCATTCAGCGACTCCAGAGCTCAAAAACGCGTCGAGAGTTTGGGCCGCATCCACCGGCCCACTGCGTACCTCTTGAGGAACTCGGCGAAGGGCAGGCGGTGCGAGAAGCCGTGCTGGCGGATGCGGATGGTCTCCAGGACGCCGGTGTAGCGCAGCTGGCGCAGCACCTTCTCCGCGTCGAACACGGCGCCGCGCTGCTGGTGCTGCTGCGGACGCTCCTCGCTCGGCTTGATGCAGCGCACGAACTGCGGCGTGCCCGACACCATCTTCTGCAGCAGGTCCATCAGGCTGAACCGGAAGTACGTGGACACCGTCTGCTGGGCGCGCGACTGGGACGCCAGACCCACGCTGCTGAACCGCTCCTGCAGAGAAGGGACCGTCAGTGGGGCGAGAATACTAGGGCGTTGAGGGAGGCCTTTGACCGCACTTGAATCGGACGCAGTGGCCACCCAAAGTCAGCAAAAACGGCTGCTTTGGGAGATTCAGTCACTTTTTGACCATTTTGCGAGACCACTGCTCCCAAACTATCAGCGGTCAAAGCCTTCCCGAGTCGGGGCATGAAAGAGTAGGGTCTTAAGAATACTAGGGCGTTGAGGGAGGCCTTTGACCGCACTTAAATCGGACGCAGTGGCCACCCAAAGTCAGCAGAAACGGCTACTTTGGGAGATTCAGTCACTTTTTGACCATTTTGCGGGACCACTGCTCCCAAACTATCAGCGGTCAAAGCCTTCCCGAGTCGGGGCATGAAAGAGTGGGGTCTTAAGAATACTAGGGCGTTGAGGGAGGCCTTTGACCGCACTTAAATCGGACGCAGTGGCCGCCCAAAGTCAGCAAAAACGGCTGCTTTGGGAGATTCAGTCACTTTTTGACCATTTTGCGGGACCACTGCTCCCAAACTATCAGCGGTCAAAGCCTTCCCGAGTCGGGGCATGAAAGAGTGGGGTCTTAAGAATACTAGGGCGTTGAGGGAGGCCTTTGACCGCACTTAAATCGGACGCAGTGGCCGCCCAAAGTCAGCAAAAACGGCTACTTTGGGAGATTCAGTCACTTTTTGACCATTTTGCGGGACCACTGCTCCCAAACTATCAGCGGTCAAAGCCTTCCCGAGTCGGGGCTTGAAAGAGTGGGGTCTTAAGAATACTAGGGCGTTGAGGGAGGCCTTTGACCGCACTTAAATCGGACGCAGTGGCCGCCCAAAGTCAGCAAAAACGGCTACTTTGGGAGATTCAGTCACTTTTTGACCATTTTGCGAGACCACTGCTCCCAAACTATCAGCGGTCAAAGCCTTCCCGAGTCGGGGCATGAAAGAGTGGGGTCTTAAGAATACTAGGGCGTTGAGGGAGGCCTTTGACCGCACTTAAATCGGACGCAGTGGCCACCCAAAGTCAGCAGAAACGGCTACTTTGGGAACAGCCAGCCACCTCAAACCGATTCACTAAAGCGAAGGAGGCCGCGTAGGCTCTCACCAATAATCCGATAAAAACAAAACAGCCGCATATTGAGTGGCTTTTCATAGAAAGAGAATAGCGACTCTCAAGAGCGTGCAATCGCGAGCCGGGTCCAAGCAGGTGCGCGGCGGCAAAACTCCAAGGAGGTAAACAACATCTGGTGGACGTACAGGCGGCGTGGACGGCTCGGGACTGGGGGTGGCCGCGGCGTACAGGTTCCCCGTCCTGGTGATGGGGCACTGGAACAGGAACCTCACGGCCGGGATGGAGGAGCGCCGCACGACCTGGACAAACCGAAAAAGTCGTGGGGTACACTGAGCTAAACGTTCAGCAAGACGTCAAGGGCATGCACGCTGTCGACTCCGCAGCGTGTCCCGTTTCCAGAGCGGCCCCCTTGCCTCACCTGGATGACCTCTGGCGGCAGGAAGTTGCGGTTCTTCTCCAGGAAGCCGTCGGCCTGGTACGCCACGCGGCCCGCGTAGTGGCACACCGCGAAGCACAGCGCGTTGCCCTTCGGACGCACGTAGAAGCGGCTCTTCATGTTGCAGTGGAACTTGTCTGCGGACCCACCAACGCCGTCAGGCAAACTCTCAAACATTAGTACAATAAAGTAAGGAAAATTTGACAGCCTTACCGACTAGTGTCCGGTCGCTGGCCCTGGGGAAGCGTGACTCCTCGTCCAGCAGGGCGAGCAGGCCCAGGGGACGCGACAGCAGCATGTCCAGGACGGGCCGGTTGTCGGAGAACTCCACCAGGTCCACGGGCACGCCCTCCGCCATGTACTCCTGCTGCTCCCAGGTGAAGATGTGCTGGTTGAAGTAGTACTGGATCTGCTCGTTGGCGATGTTGATGCACAGCTGCTCGAACGAGTTGCGCGGGAAGTTCTCGAAGCCGAAGATGTCCAGCAGGCCGATGGACAGGGGCTCCTCGCTGTGGACATCATGACCATCATCGTGCTGCTCGCAACGCCACTGTGGGCAACGGGCCCACGCCAAGATACGCACCCTGGTTTGGTGAAGGCGAGCAGCGTGTTGATCTGGTTGACCATCCAGTCGAACAGGCGGCCGTACAGCCCCTTGGCCAGGGCGTGCCGCGCCGCGCTCGCCTCCTGCCTGCTGTTGCAGCGCGTGATGGTCTCCCCGCGCGTCACCACGCTGGTGGAGGTCAACGCCGTCACCAGCTCGGCCGCGTCGACCCCCAGCAACTGGGACACTGCAACGACGCCATTTTGAGAGTGAGCCAGCCTCAGACCGCAGGCGAGCGTTGGGCTGCCTACCCAGCGGGCGCTCGCCGCCCGTCGCACAGTGGGCCAGACGCGTTTTGAGCTCCAGAGTCGCTAAATGGGACTCGAACCGAACGTGTGACCCCACCAATGGATTGCTCTCAGAACGAGGAATCCATTGGTGGGGTCACACGTTCGGTTCGCGTCCCATTTAGCGACTCTGGAGCTGAAAACGCGTCTTGGGCGCCGGCGCCATTGTGTCGGATGGGCGGCCTGCCCGACGGCGCTGCGCTGACTCGCGCTGTGCTCACCTCGGTGCAAGGGAGCCACGTCGAGCAGCCGGGTCCCCGGATCACCCGCGCCGTTGTTAGCGGGGAGCTGGTCGGCGAACTCGAGGTCGCCGATGTGGAGGATGGCGGCCAGCACCCGGTACACCGAGTCCACCTCGTCGGCGCGGAAGCCCAGCAGCCCGAAGGCGGCCTTGAGCTGGTAGAAGCGCTCCACGTTCGCCTGCAGCGGTAAGCACATGAGCGGACCGCACTTGGGGGAGACTGTACGCGCCACAGTGGGCCACTGTGCTCGGGACGACGCGTACCTGCTTGGTGGTGGGGTCCGTCCTCTCGCCGGCCAGGAAGGCGTGGTGCACGCGGAGGTCGGCGTCCAGGTGGAACTCGTGGAGGCGGCCCTCTCGCTCCAGCCCGTCGTACAGGTAGTAGAACACGTGGAAGTTGCGCTCGCCCCTGAAGGGAAACACTCGGGTTCAAACACTCGCTCGAGTCTCGAGTCCAAAGCGTGATTGGGAAGGGAACCTACTCGGCCTGCTGCACGACCCGCGACTGCTCCAGGAGGTACACGGAGATGCGCGCGCCCGTCACGCGGCCGCTGCGCGTCATGGCCACGTCCAGGTACTTCCCGAAGCGCGACGAGTTGGAGTTGATGCCGGTCTGCGCGTTGCCGAACGCCTCCATCACGGGGTTCACCTGCAGGATCCGCTTCTCCAGGTTGCGGTTCGGCGCCTGCACCGGGAACACGTTACAGTGGCGCTGCACAGTGGGCCCGAATACCGGACGCGTTTTGAGCTCCAGAGTCGCTAAATGGGACTCGAACTGAGCGTGTGACCCCACCAATGGATTGCTCTCCGAACGAGGAATCCAAAGGTGGGATCACACGTTCGGTTCGAGTCCCATTCAGCGACTCTGGAGCTCAAAACGCGACAAGCAGGACGCTTACTCACCTTGCCGAGGAACACCAGCTGCTTGAGGAGCAGGTTGGCGGAGACGGTCTTGCCCGCGCCGCTCTCCCCCGAGATGACGATGGCCTGGTTGTGCAGCTGGTGCACCAGCGCCTGGTAGGCGGCGTCCGCCACCGCGAAGATGTGCGGCTGGTTGTCGGAGCGCGCGCGGCCCCGGTACCGCGCCTGCTCGTGCTCCGAGTACAGCCCCAGGCTGGTGAAGGGGTTCACGGCCAGCAGGATGTCGCCGATGTACGTGTAGATCTGGCCCTGCTCGAAGCGCCGCTGCAGCTGCTCCACGATGCTGGCCTGCAGGACGAGAGCGTGAGCGTCGTCCGAGGCCAAAACTCTAGACGCGTTTTAAGCTCCAGAGTCGCTGAATGGGACTCGAACCGAACGTGTGACCCCAGCAATGGACTGCTCTCCGAGCGAGGAATCCATTGGTGGGGTCACAGGCTCTGTTCGAGTCCCAGTTAGCGACTCGTACCTCCGTCAGGTTGTCCAGGGCGGCCAGGTCGTCGCGGAACATGGGCTGCGGCTTGGACTTCCTGTCCTGCTTGAGCTGGCCGTGCTTGGTGGTCACCTGCGGCGCCCTCTGGCGGGCCCGCGCACGCGACCGCGGGCTGCGACCCTCGCCGTTCATCTCCCTCCGCAGCTCCAGCCGCACCTGCGTCAAGTCAAAGAAGGCCGTCATCGTGGTGGTCTCGGACACCGCCAAGGAGGCCTTCATCGCGGTGGTCTCGGACTCACCCGCTGCGCCTGCACGGCGGCGCGCTGCAGCAGCGGGTGCCGCAGCAGGTGGCGGCTGAAGGGCCGCTGCTCCATGTCCTTGACGAGGCACTGCCGCACGAAGTCCACGAGCTCGGCGCTGTGCTGCTCGGGCTGCGCGAGCTGCGGCGGTGGGTTGCGGGGGATCTGGAAGAGGGCGCGCATGGGGTGCAGGTCGCTGAGCGGCGGCTCGCCCTCGGCCAGCTCGATGGCCGTGATGCCCACGGACCACACGTCGCAGCGGCAGTCGTACGACGAGTCCAGCTGCTGCTCGCAGGCGATCACCTCCGGCGCCATCCAGTACGGCGTGCCCACCGACGTGTTGCGGCGGCCCAGCGTGGCCTGCAGGTGCGACGACACGCCGAAGTCCACCACCTTGACCTGCGCGTCGTCCGTCAGCAGGATGTTGTGGCCCTTGACGTCGCGGTGCATGCAGTGGTTGGCGTGCAGGTACACCAGCGCCTGCAACCTCAAGCCGGGTCAGTACACTCGAAGCGGACAGCACCAGCGCCGCGCTGACAAAATCGTGGAGTCTTAGCCGACGGCGCCGGTCTTCTGGCAAATCCACTGTAGCCGAAACCTCACCTCGACGGTCTCGTGGAGGATGTAGGCGATCTGGTCGTCGGAGAGCCGGGCGCCGCGCTGCTTGAGTCCCTGCACGAGGTCAGTGACGGAGCCGCCGGTGCAGAGCTGCGGACAGAGAGCAAGGCACTCTCACCCAGTTGCCGGCCACGCGTTCCAACGGCCAATCATTGGCCCCAGCAGCCCAAGCAGCCCCAGCGGGGCAGCTTTCCTGCACCCACAGTGCGAGTGCGAGAGAGACGCCTGCGGGATTAGCCCGCCACGCCACTGGCAGCCACTGGCAGCAGGAGCCACCCCACTGGTTCAAAACTGCTCCGGCGATCCGCTCTAGAGATAGGGGCCCCAGCCGCGCCTCGCCGTTGACAGGCCCGAGGCAAACCGGGCGCCTTTCCCGCTTTTCCGGGGCGCACTCGCCGCATGCGTCATCGACTACTTTGCAATTCGAGATATCGATCCTCGAAATCGAGCACGAAGTAAACCGCAATGATTTTTGACCCGTCACCAAAAGAAAGAAAGAAAGTTCTAAGTTTTGAAAAAATGGTCTACGCAAGAAAACAGCCGAGAGCTAGGCCTATTTTGTTTGATTGTTTCGTAACGGCGTTCGCCGCGCGCTCCTATGAGAAACCGCGGGGTCAGAGGTGTCAGGAAGAAAGCGCGGGAATTTGAAATGGCGCGCCTTCTCATTTGGCGCCAAAACCACACACTCGCCGCGCCGCCTGGCGCAGCCGCTCTCTCACGCCGCCAGCGTCGCTCCGTCTGTCTCTCTCGCACCTACACGGGGCGCCCAATGAGTGCGAGAGAGACAGCGCGACGGGCTGCCGCACGTAATCGATATTACTTTCATGGCGCGCCGGCCAAATATCGCCTCGCTTCCTGGCGGGCACGGCCGGGCACGACCACTGTCTCTCTCGCACTCATGGGGCGTGCCTTGTGGGTGCGAGGGAGACAGAGCGACGAGTCGACGTGCGGCAGTCTGGCCACTGCTGCCACCCTTGCGCGAATTGCCCACCGCCGCGCCAAACGGCCCAACGGCCTTGGCGGTTGGCAGCACTGGCCGGACAGACCAGCCTGGACAGCCCCGCCAGTGGCGGAGAAAGGGGAGGAAGTTCGAGCGCTCTTTTCGCGCGTTCCATCTCCATAGAGGCCCAACTAGTTCTTCGGGCGCAGAGAGGCAGCGCGCGAAACGAGTGGAGCACTGTAAGGGGAGACCCGCGGCGACAGTGGAAAGGGAAATAATAAAGTGAGCCTCAAACCGTAAGGTGACTTTCGTGAGGCCGACTCTTACACGAGGAAAATCCATCGAGTCAAGAAAAAAAATTTTCACCCTTCGCCCCACTTTTGCTTTCAAAAAATATTATTGTTTGCCACATTTGAGTAGAAAAGCGGAGGGTTCAGGTAAAAACTAAGTTTCGTAACCTTCCACAGGGGGCAGCGCGCGCTGGCCGAGGTGCACACTCTGAATCCAATTAGTGGAATGCCCACAAACATTCCTCCAGCCATTAAATTGCCTTTCCGAGCCCGTATCTCTGCACCGGCCCAAGGACGCGTCCGCGCGCGGGCCCCCCCGGGGCCGCGAGGGGAAAGAGTTTGCACAGACGCGGAAACATGGTGCATTCTTTGCAAGTGTGGTTCTCCTTAAACTGACACTAGGCACCATAATTAAAAGTGTGTCCAAATAGCAAACGAAGCTAATCCTAGCAGTGCACGAAAGAAACCATCTGGCCGAATTTAAACTAAAATGCCTAAAATTTTCTGATTATTTTAAATCAAAACAACGCAAAACTACGATGCATTGAGGTCCTTAGCATCAAGCTATTAAGTTTTTTGCGTGATGCTTGCATGAAACTTGAAACGTAACTAAACCACCAGGACGCCCCAAAAACATTTTAAAAAATGGGCCAACTGTCCAGACCACAAATAAATTCCGTTTCAAACAAAACTAAAAATTGGTTCTTTCTTTCTCGGCGGCCGGCTTACTCTGAGCCAATAAACGAGTCTTTCTGCTTTCTTCGCTTTTGCACAAAAAGCGCTTCCTGCTGCTTATCGGTCGGCTATCGCGCTGTTCTCGCGTGAATATGCTCGGGCGGGCAGGCCGCGCCAGCCACGCGTCACGGCCCGCCTCGCCTAGCCCCGCTCTGTCTCTCTCGCACCGCTTCGGGACGCCCCGCGAGTGCGAGGGAGACAGCGCGATGCACGCACTGTTCGAAATGAGCCTGCAGCCAAAGCCGCGAAGCCGGCCTGGGGAAATTGGAAGAAAAACGGACTCTGCCTTATTTGCTCTCACTGACTGGTCCGGGCCCGTCCCGGCCGGCCTGGTCGAAGTCACGTCTGATGAATGAGGTTTAGGTTGGCGGCGGTTAGGTAAGGTTGGGATCCAGCCTTTGGGTGAGATGATCGGTTCGGGCCAGAAGACCGGTGGAGGCGGTCAAAATCCCGGACGCGCGTTTTGAGCTCCAGAGTCGCTAAGTGGGACTCGAAGTGGACGTGTGACCCCACCAATGGATTGCTCTCCGAACGAGGAATGGATTGGTGGCGCTAAACCTCACCTCCATGACGAACCACAGCTGGTCCTCCTCGCGGCAGGCGGCCCGCAGCAGGTACAGGCCGCGGAACGTCGGCAGGTTCGGGTGCCCGCTGAGCTCGCGCAGCACCCTGTACTCCTCCTCGATCTCCTCCAGGTTGTCCGCCACATTCTCCAGGATCTTGACCGCCACCCGTTCGCCTGGAAACCAACAACAATTAATAGAAATTGCCATTTTGTCAAAATTTTTAAATATTTCAAATGTTTGTCAAAATTTTGAAATATTTCAAAATTTAGATAAAATTTTTAAATATTTCAAAATTTAGATAAAATTTTCAAATATTTCAAAATTTTAAAAATTGTTTTAAATTTCAAATTTTGTTAGGATTTTTAAAAATTTCAACTGTTTCTAACCAGTGAGGTTGTCCTTGGCGCTGTAGACGTCGCCGTAAGTCCCCTCGCCGATGAGTTCCTTGAGGGCGAAGCGCTCCACGGGGGACGGCAGTGACTCGAAGTGGACCCGCTGGGACATCCCGCGGTACGTCATGTCTGCCAACAACCAAACAGCAGTCAAACTCCCGCCAAAACAGAAACGGTAACGCCAGCAGGACTGGGGGCGGCCCGGTACCTCTACTGAAAACGCCTCTATTTAGAAATAGATGGAATTCAATTGACCTTGTGATTTTCTTCTAAACCTTTTCGAGTAGTTCTACTTCTAAAAGATTGTCTCCTACGACGTAGAGGTAAAGGTTCTATATTGTGCAAGGGTGTCAGATACCTCTACAGCACGTTAGTAAATTACGTCTAATTAACGTAGATGTAATTGCTTCAATTCAGGTCTATAGTTTCTCAGACTCAGAGACCTCTAAAAATTACACTGTGCTTTTACCTCTACGGGATAAACCTCTACTTATTCCCTATGCATATTACCTCTAAGAAATACACCTCTATCGTCCTGAGAGCAGGGTACAGTACACCGATGAATGGTCGTCCCGGTGCCGGCGGCCAGCGCTGGTGGTTGATGGCATGGGAGGGCAGGGAAAACTATTTCGACAGCTGGGGGGGGGGGGCAGGCAAGACTTTTTCGGTGAGTAGGAGGGCAGAGAAAACTATTTTGGCCGCAGAGAAAGCAGGGAAAACCATTCCAGCAGCTGAGAGGGCAGGGAAAACTTTTTCGATCGGTGGGAGGGCAGAGAAAACTATTCCAGCAGCTGAGAGGGCAGGAAAAACAATTCCGCCAGGTAAGAGGCCAGGGAAAACTATTCCGGCAGCTGAAAGGGCAGGGAAAACTAATCTGGCAGCACGGAGGGCAGGGAAAACTACTCCAGCCGCTGGGAGGGCACGGAAAACTATTTCTATAGCTAGAAGTGCAGGGAAAACTATTCCGGCAGCTGGGAGGGCAGGGAAAACTTTTTCGATAAGTAGGAGGGCAGGGAAAACTATTCCGGTAGCTGGGAGGCCAAGGAAAACTAGTCTGGCAGCAAGGAGGGCAGGGAAAACTATTCCAGCAGCTGTAAGGGCAGGGAAAACTACTTCAGCAGTTTGGGGGCCAGGGAAAACTATTCCGGCAGGTGTAAGGGCAGGGAAAACTTTTTTCTGTAGGTGGAAGGGCAGGGAAAACTATTCCGGCAGCTTGGGGGCCAGGGAAAACTATTCCAGCAGGTGTAAGGGCAGGGAAAACTTTTTCGGTAGGTGGAAGGGCAGGGAAAACTATTCCGGCAGCTTGGGGGCCAGGGAAAACTATTCCAGCAGCTGGGAGGGCAGGGAAAACTTTTTCGATAAGTAGGAGGGCAGGGAAAACTATTCCGGTAGCTGGGAGGACAGGGAAAACTAGTCTAACAGCAAGGAGGGCAGGGAAAACTATTCCAGCAGCTGTAAGGGCAGGGAAAACTACTTCAGCAGCTGTAAGGGCAGGGAAAACTACTTCAGCAGTTTGGGGGCCAGGGAAAACCTTTTTCTGTAGGTGGAAGGGCAGGGAAAACTATTCCGGCAGCTTGGGGGCCAGGGAAAACTATTCCAGCAGGTGTAAGGGCAGGGAAAACTTTTTCGGAAGGTGGAAGGGCAGTGAAAACTATTCCGGCAGCTTGGGGGCCAGGGAAAACTATTCCAGCAGCTGGGAGGGCAGGGAAAACATTTTCGATAAGTAGGAGGGCAGGGAAAACTATTCCGGTAGCTGGGAGGCCAGGGAAAACTAGTCTGGCAGCAAGGAGGGCAGGGAAAACTATTCCAGCAGCTGTAAGGGCAGGGAAAACTACTTCAGCAGTTTGGGGGCCAGGGAAAACTATTCTGGCAGGTGTAAGGGCAGGGAAAACTTTTTTCTGTAGGTGGAAGGGCAGGGAAAACTATTCCGGCAGCTTGGGGGCCAGGGAAAACTATTCCAGCAGGTGTAAGGGCAGGGAAAACTTTTTCGGTAGGTGGAAGGGCAGGGAAAACTATTCCGGCAGCTTGGGGGCCAGGGAAAACTATTCCAGCAGCTGGGAGGGCAGGGAAAACTTTTTCGATAAGTAGGAGGGCAGGGAAAACTATTCCGGTAGCTGGGAGGACAGGGAAAACTAGTCTGGCAGCAAGGAGGGCAGGGAAAACTATTCCAGCAGCTGTAAGGGCAGGGAAAACTACTTTAGCAGCTGTAAGGGCAGGGAAAACTACTTCAGCAGTTTGGGGGCCAGGGAAAACTTTTTTCTGTAGGTGGAAGGGCAGGGAAAACTATTCCGGCAGCTTGGGGGCCAGGGAAAACTATTCCAGCAGGTGTAAGGGCAGGGAAAACTTTTTCGGTAGGTGGAAGGGCAGGGAAAACTATTCCGGCAGCTTGGGGGCCAGGGAAAACTATTCCAGCAGCTGGGAGGGCAGGGAAAACTTTTTCGATAAGTAGGAGGGCAGGGAAAACTATTCCGGTAGCTGGGAGGCCAGGGAAAACTAGTCTGGCAGCAAGGAGGGCAGGGAAAACTATTCCAGCAGCTGTAAGGGCAGGGAAAACTACTTCAGCAGTTTGGGGGCCAGGGAAAACTATTCCGGCAGGTGTAAGGGCAGGGAAAACTTTTTTCCGTAGGTGGAAGGGCAGGGAAAACTATTCCGGCAGCTTGGGGGCCAGGGAAAACTATTCAAGCAGCTGGGAGGGCAGGGAAAACTTTTTCGATAAGTAGGAGGGCAGGGAAAACTATTCCGGCAGCTGGGAGGGCAGGGAAAACTAGTCTGGCAGCTTGGGGGCCAGGGAAAACTATTCTAGCAGGTGTAAGGGCAGGGAAAACTTTTTCGGTAGGTGGAAGGGCAGGGAAAACTATTCCGGCAGCTTGGGGGCCAGGGAAAACTATTCCAGCAGCTGGGAGAGCAGGGAAAACTTTTTCGATAAGTAGGAGGGCAGGGAAAACTATTCCGGCAGCTTGGGGGCCAGGGAAAACTATTCCAGCAGCTGGGATGCAGGGAAAACTTTTTCGATAAGTAGGAGGGCAGGGAAAACTATTCCGGTAGCTGGGAGGCCAGGGAAAACTAGTCTGGCAGCAAGGAGGGCAGGGAAAACTATTCCAGCAGCTGTAAGGGCAGGGAAAACTACTTCAGCAGTTTGGGGGCCAGGGAAAACTATTCCGGCAGGTGTAAGGGCAGGGAAAACTTTTTTCTGTAGGTGGAAGGGCAGGGAAAACTATTCCGGCAGCTTGGGGGCCAGGGAAAACTATCCTAGCAGGTGTAAGGGCAGGGAAAACTTTTTCGGTAGGTGGAAGGGCAGGGAAAACTATTCCGGCAGCTTGGGGGCCAGGGAAAACTATTCCAGCAGCTGGGAGGGCACACTCTACAAAAAATGTCCTGTCAACGCCGTTAATTTATTACCAATGTTTGCTGTTATGCAATTCACGGCGTTTGCTGTGAACTAGTTCACGGCGTTCACTGTGATCTCGGTTACAGCATGGTTACAGTGTTCACTGTGATCTGGCCACAGTAAACGCCGTGAATTGGAGCCTGATTTGCAGTACTTCTGTGCTTAGCGGCGTCAAACTCACAGTGTTTACTGGGGACCAGATCTCAGTGAACACCGCGAACAAGATCACAGTGAATCCCGTGAGCAGATCACAGTAAACGCTGTGAATTGACCTACAGTGAAAACTGGTAATAAATTAACGGCATTTACAGGACATTTTTGGTAGAGTGCAGGGAAAACTTTTTCGATAAGTAGGAGGGCAGGGAAAACTATTCCGGCAGCTGGGAGGGCAGGGAAAACTAGTCTGGCAGCAAGAAGGGCAGGGAAAACTATTCCAGCAGCTGAAAGGCCGTTCCGTTCAATCCGGGATTGCATAACTTTGCTTTCGGTGGCTGGGAGGGCTGGGAAAACTATTTCAGCAGCTAGGAGGCCACGGAAAACTATTCCAGTAGGTGGGAGGCCAGGGAAAACTAGTCGTTACAGAAATCCTCTTCAAACCCATGTAAACCATGATGCACCGGCAGCAGCGCTCCCGGGGCTCGGATCGGATATGCCACCACCGGACGGTTCAGAGAGGCACCTAGGGCGACTGCATACCAAATTTGGTGAAGATCGGGTAGCTTAAAGGTGAAATGCGTGCGGTTCCGTAGACGTCAACAGCTGAAAGGTAAAATACGTGCGAATCCGTAGACGTTTATTGCCTAAAGGTAAAATGCGTCTCAAATATGTAGACGTGAATTGCCCAGAGGTACACTAGACGTAAAATACAAGAATTACATCTACGCTTATTAGAGGTAACTTTCTAAAAAGCTTTAGAGGTTTCTCGCGCCCTGGTACACGACGCGACCTTTACCTCTACATGGTAGAAGTAAACTCCGTAGAGGTAAAAACGCGTAGAAAAAGTTAGAGGCAAACAACCTAGACGCAATATATGAAATGTCTCTTTCGTAGAGGTCTATTTCTTAGAGGTACCGGGATCGTCCCGCAGGACTATTTGGGCGACTGTACGTTTTGAAACGACCCCTGCAAAAACGGTTCAAGGCTTCCCATAGACAGCCAACAGTAAAGATAGATGATTTCGAGGTCACGGGAAAACCAGGAACCGTCGTGCCAGTGAAAGACATAGGCGCAGAGTTAAAGGGTTACTACGGGGACAAAATGAATGTCGCGAGCAGGGTCGTGAGAGGGTGGGGGAGTTTGGGGTGTGCGGTTAGCCGGGGTCAAGGAGGTGTGAGAGGGGGAAGAACACACACGCGAGGGGGAGAGTAGGGAGGGGGCAGCGGCCTGGGTCGCCTCGCCATTTTGATCCGGTTAACATATTGGATTCGCTACGCAAAGGCCAGTGGCACAGCCTGGGCACAGCGCCTGCTGGTGTCACGAGATGTCACGGGGAAGCCGAGCGGACGTGTCATCGTTCGGCGCTGAGGGCGTTAGCCAGGCCGCCATGCCTTAGCCGGGCGGCCACGGCTGGTAGCCAAGGCTGTTAGCCAAGCCCGTCGGCTAATGCACGCTGTTTTCGAACGGACTCGCCCTAACTCTCTCATACTCACATCAAGCCCTGCAACCCAAAATAAAGGTAAACCCCCAAAAAAGGTAAACCCAAAAAAAGGTAAACCCCCCAAAAAAGGTAAACAAAAAAATC